CAGTCGCCTTAATCTACTGCAAAGTGTCCCTGTGGCAGCGAAAAGAGAGCTTGGCACTGATTCTGCTTTACCTGCCAGTGTCTCTTCTTCTCATGACTCTAAGTGCAAGATGTCACTGGATGGCTTGAAACATCTGCACTTGCCTGAGGGAGCCCAGCAGACCGTTGGAATATGCCTTGCATTTTTCAGTCCAATGTTTAGTTAAAGCATTTGTTTTGGGGATGGAAGTTTTGAAAAAATCAGTGCACATTTTTTCCATGTCTACCTCGTGCCATTCCACATTTCATGGCGGTCTTGATGACATCAAGTAACACAGACACCTCAGCACCTGGGAAACACCATGGAAAGCTGTGCTTGCACAAGGAGGCTCAGCCATGCAAGAGGAGGGCTGCACCAGCACTGCCTTAGGAGGGACACAAAGCTCAGGCTGCAAAATGGTCAGGTGAGAAGCAGGTCAGAGCCTCTTGCAATGACAGCTTGGTGCTTGGGTTTGGAGCTCCCTGGGCAGACCTTTGTGTTGATGGCTTTCCTCTCTGGGACATGCAGAACGTGACCAGCACCACACTGCTGTACTGGAGATTGGTTTTTTTTCTATGTAAGAATCCTCAGGGATACTCTCCGTTCATCCTGGGACCTGCCCTATAGGATTTCATTTTGTCCCACTCCTGGGAGCTGTCCCATGGACAACTGCTTGCTCCTCACTGCAGAGCAGTGGATAGGTACCCACATGGCATCACAGTCCCATCCCTTCTTAGTGCCATCTCCATCCCACCCCAATGCAGAGCCTCAAAGAGCCAAAAATATAAAATTACTGCAATCCTGTGCAAACCAGCGGCATCAGTACAACAGAGCAAAGCCAAACACCCTCCTGTGCAAAGTCAATGCCATTAATGCCAGCCCAGGACCATGCAGAGCGGCACAGCACAGAGCAGCTGGATGCAAGAGGCAGCAAGAAGCTCGGCCAAGATGAGCAGGCAAATCAGCTGGAGTAAAAGCCATAGGCAAGTACAGAAAGCCACAAAAGGCTGGTTGAGCCTTTTGGTGGGTCTGCTCAATCCTATAGTACAGTCTGCCATCCAGAGCGGGCCATGCCAGGCACCTCTTACTGCAGTGAGCATCCCAGGGTGTCTGATGCCAAAGCCTCTGGTGTCTTGTACAAAGGACAAGAGATGGGAAGCCTTCAGTCAGGAGCTGGAGTAGATGTCCAGATAAAAATGACAATTCTCATTTTAAAAGAGCCAGAAGGAATACATTAAAAAAAATGTATTTTTATCCTAATATGTTAAGATTTCAGGCAAACTGCAAAATTGTTGGCATCTCATGGCGTATTTTTCCCCTATGGAAAAAAAAAAAAAAAAAGATATGCTCTGTAGATGACACAGTTTAATCCCCAAATGCATTTTTCTGCTTCCAGTGGAAAACATTCAAAAACATTCAAAACATTCAGTCCTTGTGGGGGTGATCCCAGAGGAGGAGAGGCCATGCAGTGGGGGGAGGTAGGGGAAGGGGTTCCTGATGAGTGCTCTGAGGTTATCCCCAGGGCCAGGGCTGGAAGGTTTGAATACGATAACCAGTAGATATCTCATCTATAAAGTCCACATGCTGCTCTCCTGAATTTCCAAAGTGCTTTGCTGTTAGCTGCATACTGCATGCGTGGCAATGCAATCACCAAGAAAAGGCAGCCTGCACCATTGCTGGTGTGGTGGCATTTGTATTTCACAAGATCTGGCCTCTAGACCCTGTGGTCCAAGCGTCATCCTTCTGGATCACATTCAGGTATGAGCTGGAGGGAGCACAGAACTCGTCAGCTCCTCTGAGGCAGCTGAGCTGTCCCCGAGGCTGCAGCCACCCCATCTCTTGTGCCCAGAGAGGACCAGCAGCAAGATCCCAGCCATCACCATCGACTGAGTAATAATGCATGACCCAAAGGGGCTGCAGAGAGATTAGTTTCCGTCAAATGATACTTCTCTGGAAATCAAAGTGGCTTCCTGGTGCTGACTGTGAAATAAAATAGAGCAGAATCGAGAGGTGGAGCTATAGGTCAGCGCAGCTGCACGGACTGCGGGGGGATTTTGCCTCGTTGAGGTCCTTTCCCTTTCGTCAGTGCCTCCTTGGAGCCGTCAGGGCGTTTCCTGCACTGCTGACTGCTTTTGTTGGTATTTTTATCTCTTCCTGCACGCGATGGCAGGGTGTGGGTATCTGCCACCAGCGGCAGCTTGCAGGCACATGGCACCGGGCCAAGAGGAGAGGGCTGATGGCAGACAGCAGCAGAAGGGCTCCCGAAGGACCTGGCTGGTGCTCTGCAAGGTGTCAGGCTGTGTGCTCAGCCTACAGTCAGACCTCTCCTGGCTCCAGCCAAGTTTATGCATACTTCTTCTCCCATTTACAAGGCTCATAGCATCCTTACAGCAGAAAAAGACACATCCTTCATTCTGCTGGCAAAACAATTAGTCCTAATAAGCTCTGGTTCCAGATTGGGCCAGCAAAGCAGGAGGAAGCATCTGCCCCACTTGGGTGCTTGCAGCTGTCCACTATCAGGAGGGCTGTGCTGGAAGAGGACGGGGGATACGGCACTGCCATCAGCTGTGCCTAACTCTGTCACTTGCTGCCATCTCCCAGGCAGTTGGGACACAGAGAGGTGACACCACTCAAGGAGACACTCCTGGACAGAACTTCCTCTCCCCCTTGCTGAGAGCCCTGCCAGCAGGGTGGGCACACAGGCAGTTGCTTGGCACGTCGGGCTGCTCTGCCTCAAACACCTTCCCTTACATTAAGGTACTCTCACCAGCCCTGAATTTCACCCAGCACGGGGCACGCTTTTCCAGTGCAAAAAGCACACCAGAAAGACGCGTACACGGCTCCCTGCGAGACGGTTCGCGTGCGATGGAGCCCACGGCCCCGACAGACGGCTCAGGGCGGCGGGGCGGTGCGGGGCGGTGCGGGGCGGGCCGGCACTGCCGGACAGCTGGGGCACGGCGAGGAAGCGCCCGGCAGCCGGAGCCGGGCACCGAAGGAAGGATGTCGGGGCGCACGCAGCTGCCGGGAGATGAGGTTACAATGCGCAGCTAAACAAAGATCCCCGCGAGAAGGAAACGGATCCCTCCCGCCTCCTGTAAGGTAGGAGCCGAGCGGCGGCCGCTTGACATCATCGGGCCGAGCATTGGATTACAGCAGGCAGGGACTCACCCGGCGGGGAGCAGAACACGCCCCTCGGCCCCACAAGTGCAACTTCATTTAGCGGCTCTCGGCGCGAGGAAGCCACGAGCGTGGAGCTGCCCGCCGCCAACCCTGCCGCCCGCAGCGCCGCTTCCAGCCCCGCTCCTCCGGAGGCAGCGGGACCCCGTAAGTGCGGCGCCGGGTGCGGGGTGCGAGGTGCGAGGGCAGGCGCTCGGCCGGGGGATGCCGGTGGGTGGTTTCTGCGGTCGTAACTTGCGCTGCCCGCGGCGGGGCTTTGCTTTGCTCCGTGCGAGCCGTGGGCTGAGCGGCGGGGCTGCGTTTCCTTTGGAAGTCGCCTCGCTCCTCGTTTGCTGCGGAGGGGCCGCGGGGAGAGCGGCTTTCGCGATCACAAAGGACTGCTCGGCGACTCAGCGACCCCAAGGGGACTTCCAGCATCCTTTCTGCCCTTCGCCCGTTTATTTTAAGAAACCGGCCAGACGGGATCTCTTACGACACAGGGGCTCGCTGTGTCCGTCCGGGAGCCGCTGGGCTCTGTGCCCGTGGCCACTCGGGGCTGCCCCGAGCCCTGGCACGGCCGAGAGCCTCACAAACGCGATGTATGCAGGCGTGGAGACTCGCTGGCATCCAGCTTCCCTAGCAAGTGTTTTAAGAGCGGGATAAAAAAAGAACTGCTGTGTGGTGGTATTCTCAGGAGGCTCTGAAAATTCCTCCGGCTCGGAGCTGCGCGTCGCTCTCCTCTCTCCGGTTTCCCGCAGGCAGCTGGGAGGGAGCGCAGCGCCTCGCTCACGGAGGGACGGCTGGGAAACGTTCCTGTTGTATCAGAGGGGGCAAACGCACACATAGAACGAGAGCCACGCACGGCTGAGTTCTTTGGGGGGAATGCCCGTGGTGGCTGGGATGAGGGGACAAGCAGGGAGGCGATGTGCCAGTGTCAGGTGGGGCTCTGGGACAGACACAGAAGCAGAAGGGATGGCTCCAAGGGAGCACGTAGCCTCTCAGGCTCTGGGCTGTGCTTGCCCCCAGTCAGCACGGCCCTTGGGGTGGCTACAAGTGTGCTTTGGCTGTTGAGGCTTTTGGGTGGTCCCCTGCAAGCAAGGTGGGCCCTTCCAGCTGTCTGAGAAGTTGTTATATGCCTGCTGTAACGAGGAACAGCGTTTGGGGAAGGAGGATGCACCAGGGATCCTCAATAGCTGAATTTATTTGTAGCACAGATACAGACTAAATGGCCACTTACAAACGTGGCTCTGCCAGTAAAGCTTAAAGCATTTCAAACACAGGACAGGGCCCTGGGCTCCAAGTCCTCCACTGCATAGACACTTTGCAGAGGGTGAGAGCTCTGATCCCTCAAAGAACAGGAGCTCACTGCTGTAAAGCACATAGGCTGGCAGCAGCATAGCAGAAACACTAAAACCCAAAGACATTCATAGACCTGGATCTTCCAACAACTTATTTCTGTACGCACAGTGGCTGATTCTGAAGGCTGAAAGGAGCTAGCAAGCACTGCTTTGCTTCCCCTTTGCCTTACTCTCCTCAACCAAAGAAAAGCTGATGCACTTTTGAGCCTCCTTGAAGGTATACACGGGCACACACACAAGCCTGCCCTCCAAAGGACAGCTGTGAAAAACATTTTCCAGGTTACCATTTTCTGGGACTCACATCTTTCAGGACCAATTATCACAGCACTGATCCCTCCAACCAAATGCTGTTACCCCTCTCTTACAGGGGCCAGCCACAAATCAAGTGGCTGTGATTCTCCTGGGTTCGTACAAGTCTGTAGCAGAACCCAGGAATCAATCTGCAAGGTGATAAGAAACAGCAGAAGCTATACCACAGCTTTTTATTTGCCCTTTCTGTGCCACTCTGTTTTGATCTTCAGTTTCACATTCAAAGCCTGAACACGGTTGCTGTTCCACACTGCTTAAGGTGTTCTTCAAGTCAAAGCCATACACGCAGACCAAGCCAGACAAGTTTTCCAGCACAGTATCCATTCCTTAAAGAGGATGAGAGAAGGAAATAACAACCAATGTGCTTCCAGCCAACTCATAAAGGGAGGTGCTCCCCCAGGCTTACCAGTGCCAGCCGGTGCAATGGGGAGGGTCGGCTGCTGCACGCACTTTGTCCCCAGCTCCTCCCAACAGCAGTGACAGAGAGGCACAGACATCACTGCAGGGCTCAGCCCAGGACCTGAGCGAGAAGAGCAGTATTGGACTATGAACCATGTCTTCCCCCATTTCAAAACGTGCACTCCCTTTCAAGCCTTTGCACTGCTCATTCCTGGTTTGCTCTGCATGTTCCTGAATGCCTTCCTTCCCAGCACAGCCCTGAGAGTTGCAGTGCTCTGCTTGGCTCCTCCATGCCTACACATTGCTGGCCACAACCTGCTGCCATAGGAGCAGGCCAGCACTGAAATGCCAACAGTTGTTGATGTTTGCAGTGATGTAATAAGCCAAACATCCCCACTGGAGAGTCATCAGCTTTACTGCGATTACTCTTTCCACAAAGTGTAATTAGTCTGTGGTGCTCGTTGCCTTTAGATATCACTGGCAGTAGGAGTTCAGAAGGCATTTTATTGGATAACAGGTCATTATGTAGCTAGCTAAACTACTCTGCTTGTAATTATGAGGATATTGCATTTTAAGAATTATACAACCTCCTGGTTTAGGGCAATTAGTAACTAATGAAAAATATTTCATCATAATTACGAGTTTTCTTGCACCTCTGAGCCAAGGATACCAGCTGTATTTGGAGACAGGATACCAAATGAGATGGTCTTTCAGTCTGCCCAGGGAGGGGCCCCCAGGCTAATCAGTGATGCATTTAGATTGATGTTTACCTGTGAGTCAAGGTAACAATCTTCTGTCTGCTGCCATCACCTTGGGCAAAATCAGAAAGGATTTCCTCTCTGGATCAAAAGCAGCACCATAACATCTGCTGAAAAGTACACTGAAGTCTGCCAAAAGCACTCCGAGCTTCTTGGAGCATGCATTCATTTTGAAGCAATGTGGTGAGAACTGCATTTGTTTTGTGTGTATATACATATTCCTTTGGGGCAACAGCTGAAAAAAGCAGAGGCAATCCAGATCTCAAACTGTGTGCACCATACTGATGGCAGTGCCCTTGCAATTCACTCCTGAAGAGCAGCTATCCATTGGACATTTCCACATAGGTCCCTATAATCCATAGTGCCTAATCTGGTCCTATAATGCATCAAAGAAACATGAATCATTCTTGACAAGTTACACCCACCCCACTTTAGTCCCACTGCAGCAGCTAGCCTCAGCATCATCCTTAAGCCCCCACACTCTCTGCTTAAGGGAGTCTGCCCACGCTGGGTCCTTGCAGCTCTGCCCATCACCCAGGGCTGGGTGGATGGAATATGGAACAGAAGATGAGCAGGGCATTCCACTTCCAAAATCCTCAACTAGGGCTGTGAGGCCCTACATGGAGGTGAGGCTGGGGCTGCAGAGGTGGAGAAGAGTAGCCGCGAAAGGGTTCCTCTCTCCAAAATCAGCTCTTTTGAGAGAATAGGGGGCTTCCCCAACAGCCCATTGGGAACAGGATTGCTTAGTGATGGCTCTTCTAGTTCAGAGCATCCTCATTCCAATTTGCTTTAAGCATTTCCCAGCACAGGCCTGTGGATTTTGAGATGTTTTGCAACCCATCTGGAGTGCCAGAGCTTTAAGTGTTTGGGCTGTGTGACACAGGAGCCAGAGTGAGGCAGGAAGACAAAGGAGGGAAACAAAGGATCAAGGATTTTCAAAGCTGGCTTTTCCTCCTTCCTGCTTTTGTTTTTCCTGGTTGGTACCCCAAAAGGGTAATGCATATTCCCAGAGTTGTGGGAGTGCTGTTGGAAATGCTGGACAGGAAAAGAAACAAGCACTTCCCCATGAGTGGAGTAAACAATAACAAAAGCATGTTGTCAAATCCTTGTGTCTTTGATTGGATACTGTCATGATCATCATTAGGATTTTCCACTTCTGTAAGCCCGTCATCTGCAGATTTCAAAGCCTTACAGATATGTGGAACATCCAGTGAGGAAGGCGAGTATTAATAGTTCCACTTAACAGATGGGCAAAGTGACATATAAAAGCAGCAAGTGCCCTGTCCTTGAAGCAGGGATGGAGCCAGTGAGCAATGTTTGGCTCCTACTATGAGTAAGTTTTAGAAGTGGGCCAAAGAATAAAGAGGAAGGCTGTAGATCTGACCTGGTTTGGAAAGTGATGAATTATTGCAGCCACAGTGATCCGCAGCTCAGAGTAGGCAGAACTGCTGAATGAGCTACTGCATTCTTAAATGGTTAATTTCTTGCTTTTTCGTCTGCTAATATTTGTCCCTGGGAGCAAAAAATAAAAAACAACCAGCAGTCCGTGATGTTCCAAAATGTCCTAAAGCTGAAACAGCTGCTAAAATAAGCAAGTGTCTTGTTGGCTGGGCCCTGCAGGTCAGGAGATTGCAAGTCACCCACAGATGTTAAGGCCACAGAGGAAATGTCTGAGAGGGGCCTGGGGACCAAGGGAGAAGGCACAGCTGTGCACAGAACAACACAAGGCAAACCAAAGCAGCTGCCAGCACCAGGCAAGCTTCCCCTTCTGCCTCAAAGCAGTTGACGTGGAAGTTTCACTTCTTTAAATGGCAGCAGGTCTTGCAAATGAACATTTGTTTGTACTCCTGCTGCCAGCACTGAACCCCTTAACCTTCCTGCGGTGCCAGTCAGGTGCTCGTGTGCCCCAGTGCACCCACATCAATGTGTTGAAAGGAGAAATAAAACCAAAAGGGAACTCTTCGTGAGGCCAGGCCTCTGGGCAGGTTTTGCTCTTACACCCAGCAGAGCAAATCACTTAGTGCAACCCCTAAAAGCCCTTCACTGCTCCTCTTGATGCTCACTACCCCCAGATCCCTCCCCTGTTACAGTCACAGGCAGTGGGAAGAGCCACTGAGCTTTATGCATCCTAACACCAGCACAGACACTGTTTTCTTACGTTTGTTTTCCTTCCCCAGAAGCCGCTGCCCTGCTGTGTCTGGAGCCTGTCTGAAATCATGCCAGAAGGAAAGTCAACTAAACCAGGTAGGGATTCCACTACAGACTGATAACGTCTTCCTTCACAGAAAAGTTTTAATATAAGAAGGAAAAGGGGATTTTCTCCTCCCTGTTTTGGAAAAAGTCATTTGACCACCTCTGTATTCCGCACTATTAGTTCTAGAAAGTTGCTAAGAGGGAACAAACACCTGTGGTTCTGCTGTAATGACTTTCCTGCTGTGTCTTCCATACCTCCCAGCCATGCACAAGCTGTGTCACAGCATCAGCTCTGGTCCACCCTGGCTGGGGACAGCCCAGCATCCTGTTATCTCTGCTCAGAGAGTTAACCCATCAAAATGCAGGAACTCCCAAAGCTGAGCTGTTACACTGGTGTTTAGGGTGACCTGCCAGCTCAGACAGTCCTTCTGTGCTTTCAACTCTGTGCTGCTCAGAGCCTCTCAGTCACCTTGCTGCTTTCTTGTTACTCACACTCTGGCTGCACCAAGCTGGTGTTTGCAGGTCTGGCAGTGACAGATCTCTGGACTCACTGCTGCACAGACATTCACCCTGCAGGTCTCAGAGCAGCTCACCTCCTGCATCCAGCATCTTCCCATGCATGCTGCAGACCTCCCATGTCTGTCCATGCCCAGGCAGCATTTCAGTGGACCATAAAACACTTGGCAATCTTTTTAATTACCATTCTGCAAGCATCTCTTTGTACCTCCTCCACTATTTCAGAGACATCAGGCTCATGCCTGAGATCCCACATCCCTCATGAGCAGCATGCAGGGGATTTGCCCTGCTCACAGCAGGGCTCGGCAGCTGCTCCCATCTAATGGGGTGCCCCAACATCTTCCCCAAACCACAGCAACGCTGTGAGGTGTGTGCACAAGGACAGGTGGAGCTCTGTTCAGGTGGGAGCTAAGCAGGGCAGCACAGCACCAGGACTGCTGCTTTGGGTGAGGGGAGATGTGGAACCGTGTGGAAGGGCTCAGCTCTCCCTGCAAGCTCGTTTGGAACTCCTGCACATCCCATTTGAACTGTCAGCAAGCAGTATGCCAACCCTGTGAGCTACACAAGTGATTTTCCTCCACGCAGCAGCACAAATAACAGGTCAAACACACCCCAGGGAGCAAAGCTGAGCCCATTTTTCTAATTAGCCCACCTCATTCCAGTATAAGGCTTCTAAGAACTGCCCTGGTTTATTGTTAGGGAAGCAGACAGGGCCCTGTCCCCAAGGAGGCCATAGGGCCTGTCCTACCAGGTCGTGGAGGTGGGCACGAGGCCCAATGTGAGCATCCTGTGGGCTGCACAGGTGGATGAGGCAGGGCCAGGGCAGAGCCAGGCTTGAGCCTCCCTGCCAGCACCATCGTATCATAAAAACCACCAGCACCACATACCTCTGTCTGCAGAAAGTCCCTTCTCCAGCCAGCAGCAATGGCCTTCCTCCAAAACAGAGCTATCTCACCAGCAGCTGCTTGCTCTTCACCTCCCTTTATACGCAAGGGCAGCCCTGCAGGGAGGCAGGCTCCAGCTGCATCTCATCTCTCCCAGGCTCACCAGTATTTTCTCACCTGGGCAGCCCACAGGGTGCTGGGCACATCCTAGACACAGCCTGGGGAGGTCGTGGTGCCTGGTGAAGAGCTGTGGGACTGTTGGGTACTTTCTCAGCCTTTGCTGGAAAGGTGAAGTGAAAGCAGGGGCTTTTCTTTCCTGGGGAAAGGAGACTGTGGGGATCCAAATGGCCCAGCTGTGCTGGAGGGGGCAGAGGGGGGTTTCTGTGCCCATTACAGGTGCACCAATGGCCAGGTTTTTCTAGATGTGGCTACAGCAGCAGCTGTGAGACTGCTACAGCTGAAGAGTTTCAAGTGGCTGCTATTACTCTGTTTTGAAATTTCACTCCTTAGCAGACCTTCCACACAGCCATGGTTTTGCTCACGTAAAAGCAAATTCACATACAAAGGCAGTTAGACAAGAGGTTGGGAGAAAGTAAAAATAAAAATAGTGGTAGGGTGGAGCTAGCACTTTGCAGCACTGAAGGGGTCTCTGTTGGGCACCAAAGGTAAAAGTGCATGGGTGGGCACTGGGTGCTCTATGCAGAGCCATGTCCTCCCACATCAGGCTGAGCTTTGGGAGGGGAAAATGGGAAAGGCACCAGCTCACATGGCCTAGGACAGGCTCTGCCCCAAATCTGGCTCAGCTCCCTTTGCTGGAAAGGCACTTTTAGGGTACCCCAGCTCTGCCCCAACAGAGATGCTGGAAGTCACTAACCCTGCACATTTGGGGGTGTCCTGGCTCTGTCTGCCTGCACACTGTGGCTGCCCACCATGGGGACACTGTGAAGCTGTGGGATGTGGAAAACAAGCTCGACCTGGGAACCAAACACAAATACAATTGCTGTCACGGCAACTGTCTCCAGATGCACGGAGAGACCAATTATTTCCATTAATCAACATGGTGAGAAGCTGCAGAAGAGGCTTATAATGCAGATGAGGTTTGGATGCTGAGGGGAGGGAGGAGCCCTGGAAAAGCTCAGTTGTCAAGGAACTCTGTGATGTTTCCCATGGTGGAGGATAACAACTGGTATCCTTGTGCAGCCAACGTGAGGCTGGAGCGTGAGCCAGGCCAGCGCCGAGTGACGCTAATGAAGCGGTGTCAGCTTCATCAAGGGGGAGCTGAGTAATGTTCCCTGCTCCCCTGGGACTGCTGCAGCATGTCAGCCTGCCCTGGGTCCTAGGGGTTGTCTGACACCGTGAAACCCTGCCAGGGCATCTCCTGTGTCTGCTGGGAGCCAGGTGATGACCAGGGGGGCTGGAGCTGCAGAGGTACTGTGGGACAGCAGAGACAGGGGTGTGGGTCCCTGTGAGCAGGATGTGCTGAAGGGCAGAAAGGAGGGAGAAGCTAAACACAAGGTGTGTCAGGTCCTAACCCTTACAGGAGCCCAAGCCAAACATTAAATCAGAGGCTATGTAGTGAGTTACCAGCCCTCAAATGATCTTCATACTGCAAAATAAGGCCAAAGCAAACGATAGGATCTGCTTTACACACAAAGCCTCCATCTCCCTGCTGTAAATCCTCCCCTGCTATGTGAATAACATTTCTCCACCAAGTTCTGGAGAACCCTAAAAGTTCTGTTCTTGAAGAATCCTTGCAGTGTATGGAGATGCTGTGATGTCAAACAGCATCACCCGGTTTCTGGCACTGACCTAAGCTCAAGTGCATGGGAGGGTCTTGGGCCATGGAGAGGTCTGACAGACACTGGCACAGGTCTAAAAATACTCCCTAATCCTGATAACCCAGCCATGGAGCCCTCCTGCTTTGATGTGCAACCTCTCATGCATGTTCCCAGACCAGAGCCCATGGAAAATTCGCTGAAATTCCATCTGGAAGCTGTCAGACAGTTGGTGGAAACCCCCTGACCTCAAGTGCTGACTTCTGCCCTGTGGGATTTTTTCCCTCTCGGCTGGATGAAGATCTCACAGCGGGGAACCTCGCAGCAGACCGCAGGGAGCACAGAGATCCTGGTGCTGCTGCCTCTGTGCTCTACCAGGCTCCCTCTACAGCAAACTGTCTTACGCTGTAAATATTTTACAAGCCCAGCAAGGATACTGGGTGTGTTTTGCTGTTGTTATGGATCTGTCCCCAGCAGGACTGGGCTAATAATAGCCCAGGTACCCAGGAATGAAAGAGAGAGAGACACAGCATGGAGAGCTTGAAGGCACCGAAATGCTCTGTGCCCTTGTCCATGCAGGTCTGCAGTACAGGGAGACGCGGGATGTGATGCTTAAACAGAAGAAAAGGGTCAAACCCCCCTTCCCCTGCTGATCTTTGATAAAAGGTGGAAAAATCAACCCAGAAACACAGCCAGGTTTAGATTGGCTTTGGGGGCTTTATGCTTCCCAGAGGCAAAAGGCAGCAGTTTGATCCTTGGCTTGGACACCAAGAGAGCAGAAGCTGGCCTTGTGGGTCAGAGATCCTGTTCCAGCCAGAACCCTGCCATGGGCACAGAGCTGTTGGCCCCAACGGCCACTTGCAACGGGCAGCAGCGGCAGCAGCAGGGATGTAAGTGTGGGGCTTCAGTCCCTTGGGACTTGGGCTTAACATCCCACTGCCAGTCCTTGCTGGCTGTGGTCAGTGGGATGATCCTTGGGTGCCACAGGAATGGGGACATCTTTGTGTGGCTCCAGAATCAGTGGTAGGCAGAGGCTGCTCCGTGCTGCCCATCGCCTGGGTGTTTAGGAAGAAAGATACGGCCCCATTCCCCACTCTGTAAAGGGAAGCAAAGTGGGCTCAGGTGGTTCTTGGGGCCAAGCAATGCTGAGAAACCACTGCTGTGTTGAACCTTCCCACCTCCTCCCTTACAGCCCCTGCTGTGCCTTGCTGGCTGCCCTAGGGAGTGAGGATATCCAAGCAGGACTTGAAGGCACCCTTTACCATGTCATGCCACCTGTGCCACAGAGAGCTGAACAGAATTTCCTCTGACACAAAAGTCTTCTGCAGTTTGTGCAAAGCCAGGTTAGAAACAGAGCAAAATTCTGAGGAAAGTCTGAGGTAAGAGGAAACAGCTTCCAGTTTAACCTAAGCAAGGGGCGGATAGTGCGTCATGTGAAGGGCTTCCTTGAAACTGGAGTCCAGGGCTGGGTGTGCCTGCAGAGTCCATCCGAGCCCTCTGACTCAGATGTGGGCCACATTTCCTCCATGGGTGCACGGTCCTGTGTTGAGTTTAACCCTCCCATGGTAATTCCAGGCCATTGTCCACTTGAAAGAGGCATTGAGTCACCTCAAAAGTGTCCTTCTTTCACATGTCCTGGGGATGGACTCTGAGTGCAGCCCAGGGCTGGCAGCAGAACCTCATCCTTGTGCCACACCTGTGCCTGCAGAACTCACACTGCTGCAGCCCCGTATGCCCTGCTTCATTCCCATCCTCACAAGATATTATGGAAAAATAAGCTGAGGCCAAACAGCAGATTTGGCAGAAAGAGCTTATCTCAGCAAGGCAACTGAGCTTGAAACTGTGGGGTCTGGTGTGGGGAGCTGCCACTCAATGATATCCACAGTGACACTGCTCCAAATGCAGCTGCTCAGGCAGGGATGCCCTCTTGTCAGTGGCAGATGCTAACGATATGTTTTGCATCTTCCTGGAACCGTGAAAACTCTCCTTGAAAAAAATCAGGTTTCCCCCCTGAAAATGGTGGCGACGGTTCCATCACCCCTCCGGGCAGCAGCAGAGCGGGGGGAACCGAAAGGCAGCTCCCGGAGAGCCGCGCACCGGGAGCCGGCGGGGCCGCCCCGTGAGCACCGTGCACTGCCGCGGAGCTCCGGCGCCATCTCCCGGTGGCTTCTGCGGGAGCACTCGGTCCGTGTGTCGTTCAGTGCTTTCCGTCGGCTTCCCCGGGAGGGAGATCGATGTTGAGCAGCGTTTGTGCAGGAGCTGAACAAATGTCTCAGTGGGACATCAGCGCCGTGACACAAAAGCAAGCGGATGCGGGATGTCACGCTTTTTTCATTAGCCAGCGGTGTTTCTGAGCAGCTCCTCCTCCAAGTATTGACAACAGCAGCAGGGCAGTGGGCAAAACAAGTGGGCCGCTGATCTCCTGCTTCCACACAGCAAAGCAAGCCGGGTGCCAGGCTGAGTGAACAGGAGAAGGAAGCAGGAGCACCGGATTCCCAGCACGGAGGCAGCACGTGACCCGCTGGTACCCAGGCACTGGGATGCTTGCAGTGTGTTCCCAAAGCTGCCCAGCTCCCCGCACCGCATGCTGCCAAGCCAAACCCTCAGCTAAATGAAGCCCTGGACACCCGTCAGGCTGTACCAGGAGCTGGCTGGTGCTCGTGCTCATTGTGAGCCTTTCTTTGCACTCTGCGCTTGGCACAGGAGGGAGCAAAGGGATCCAAAACCCTTGCAGTAAGGTTGATTTTCACAGGGTAAAGTGCTGCTTCTCTCAAAGCTGTCTCACTTGACACATGAATGTGACAAACACGGCAGCACTGATGCAACCCCAGTGTCTGCAAAGCTCACGAGCTCCTGGACTGTTTGGGTGAGTGCCTCCTAGAGCCCTATTCCTGATTACAAATTCTGGTCAGTTCACCCCTTCCCACTGCAGAGCCAAATTCAGCCTCCATTCAAAGCTCCCAGGGCAGTTTGAGGAGGAAGGAGGGCTTAGGCCAAGCTGACATTGAGCTGAAATGCAGAGCTTTGAATCCAAGGCAGCCCCCCTTCCCCAGAGCAGCAGGCACATGGTGACAAAGCCGATGACAGCAGAGCCAGCAGCAGCTCGTTACCTGAGAGTTCAGAAGCTGCTCCGACAGGGAGCGGAGTTACAGGGGCTATTTTTTCATGCTGTAATTTAACTCCATGCAGTAACCTAACCCAGATAGAGCCATTGCTCAAGGCTGGCCGAGCACCCTCGAGCTCAAAGCTGTTTTCTCTGCAGGATTTTGAAGGAGTATAGAGATGCGATGGAGGTAGAGTCCAGCACGTACACAGACTTCATTTCCTGCGACAGGGCTGGCCGGAGGAATGCTGTCCATGACATCCAGCGGGATGCAAACACCATCAGCATGCGCAAGCTGACCAAGGACATTGGCGAGCTCGGCGTCGAAGGGGCAGGTGAGGGGCTGCAGGCACTGGGGAAGGTTCAGGACACCCCCCCCTGGGTGGGCGCAGCCTGAAACTACAGCAAAGTTTCACCACGTCTGGGAGCCAGGTGTGGTGGGGGACACCTGGGAGGATCTTTTGCAACAAGCGCGATGGTCCCAGTGCATGACTGCCAAGTCCTGGGCCTGTCTTTGGTTGGTTTGTAGGGTACTGGTGTTGTAACAAGAGCAAGCACTGAGAAACAGCCTTCTCTGGGCCAAGTACACGTTAGATACACATTTGCCTTCATAAAAATCAAGTGTGTATGCGAGCGGGTGTGCTGTAACCCCAGCTGTAACTCCTAAAACAGGTCCATAACAGCACACGTCTGGGCATCTGTCTACAATAAGCACTAACTGGAGCTCAGCTGGCAGCAAGCAAGCTGGGTACCTGCCAGGCTGCCCATGTACAGCTTGCCCTTGCAGGTTAGACACAGAGAGCACACTCCTGCTTTGAAAGGGACTCTTGGTTTAGAGCTGTTCTATTGATGCACCCTGAAATGAAGCCCTGGCACTTTCCTCTGAGCACTGAGGTGCCCTCTCAGCATCACCAAATACTGTTTTGAGAAGGGCTTGTGCTCTGAGAGCATGATGAGATAACCCAATACATTTAAGCTGAATATCTGGCTCCAGGTGGGCTGCAGTCATTGATGCCTGATCACTCGTGTGCTCAGCAGAGTGTAACTGTGCTTTCCTCCCACTCCTCCCTTCTGCAGAGAGTGAAGAAGCCAGCACCTCTTCTGAGAGAGACCCTGCAGCAAGACCAAAGGAGCAAGAAAGCAAATCCTCCCCATGAGAGCGCACAGGGGGTGGGATGGGGCAGCAGGAGGGGCTTGCTGTGAACGTTAAGCAAGAATTTATCATTGAATCTGCGGACAAACGCCAACCAGGACCAGCAAGATGTCTGTCACATGCCTCTACTGCAACCGTTTTGTTTCAAGAACTGCAAGATACTGCACAAGGACTGGCACCTCCAAAAGACTTCTGCTCCCATCCCTGATGACTTAGAGCAACACTGCAGTGTTTGTAGTGATATGAGCCATTCTCAAGATGCCTTAGCTGCAATTTTCCCCTATGGGAAAAAACTATTTCAGTAATAATATACACTTTCCTGTCTGAGGTACCTTCCCCCTTTGCAAATTTAGACCATTATTTATTCTGTTTCTGTAGGTTAGAGGTTTAGATGATTGTTTTCTCCACACACTGCCCTCATCCTGCATCTCACCCCTGAGCTGGCCTCTGGACCAGGGCGGGCAGCAGCAGGGACCAGCCAGCCCTGCATCTATGGCCAGACCCATGCAGCCCCGGGGAAGGACCAAAGCACAGCCCCACGTGGATGAGCTCCACTGACAGACCCAGCAGCATCAGCCACAGGCATCTTTTCCTTTGGGTTTTAGCATTTTAAGGTATTGTTAAGGGGGAGGGGGGGGGAGAAACATTTTGCTGTTTTGACTGTTGAAATTCAGGCTTATCTTTGCAAGCTGTTAGCTGAGATTATCTCTGGTAGGATCTCACACCATTCTTTTAGGAGACATGTTTTGTGTTAAAGACGGTTTGATAAAACTATATAAGCTGTTGGAATAAACAACACAGCCTTTAAGTACTGAAGGTGTTCTTCTGCCTGGATGTTTCTTCTTCCTTGGTTTTGCCAGGCTGCAGGAGGTAACACCAGCCCCTAATGGGCAGATTGGAATCTGTATTACAAGCAAGGACATCCAATGCCTGCATTTCCCCACCCAGGAGCCTGGCAGAGCACTGGAACAGCTCCAGCCCCACAGGCACTGCTGGGTCCTGAGCAGGGCAGGGGCTGATGTCAGAAAAGCTCCAGCGGTGACACAGGGACAAGCATCTCCTCCACAACCTTGGAAAGAACTGAACACCACATTTGGGATTTGTCAGAACAAACAACCCCATAAATAAGCAGAGAAGTTGCTGCCAGACAGAGGGCAAATTGCCCCCTGGTCTCCAAGAAGCAATGACTACAGGGTCAGGACAGAAATGGATGAGACAATGACCTACACAGGAACAAGGACTTGGCAGCCAGATGGAGGCTTCATCTGCTTCCTTGGCATCAAGGAAGCTGCCAGGATACTATTACAGCTCTGTTGCCAGGCGGTGCCAAGATCCTACCCCCTGCTACCCTGGGGCAAACCAGCAGCTAGCTCCTGTCCTGGCTGACGGTATAGTTTGGGCTTTAAGCTCCATTTATAGCTCTCCTTGCTTCCACCAAGCAGTATTTTTGTTCAGATATGCACATGAAGGGCGGTGCAGAAGGACTGCACACCACACATGACCCCCAGAAATCAAGCATGAGCTAATCTTGGGTCTCCCTGGTCAGAAGATAGCTGTTGCTGTTATATTTAGCCAGGTCACTAGTGACCCCTCAACTCACCCTCTGTGCCTCAGAGCACAGGCATCAGGTTCCCCTGCCACTCATCTGCCTGCACTGAGACCATAGACACAGCATGAATCCAGCAACATCGTGACTTGCAAAACTGCTGAGCACACAAATGCTCTGGCCCTTTGATTTCAGATGGAAATTCAGCATGCAGTACCTCCCAGAACTCCAAACATGTACCAAAGGATGGGGGAGTCAATGAGAAAACACCTGATAAAGCAGTCCAACAGCATCACAGTCCAGGCTGCACCCCTTAAGTCAGCATCAAACAGCTGTGCAAAACTCAGGAAACAGAGAGAAAACGTAAACTATTATTGATACACATCAGAAAAAGTGAGAGCACACAGTGACAATCTGCTGCTTCAAAGGGTAAGAGAGGCATTTCTGTGATTACTAAAGAGACACGTGAGGTCAGAACAACATGCATCAACAAATCCAGCTTGCAAGTCTAACAAGAGGGGCACCTTCCCTCTTCCCTGCCCTGCATTAAAGCTTTCAGAGCAAAGTAGTAACAGGAGGAGGCAGGCTGCCATAGCACCACACACCGACCCACTAACCCAAACAGGGGTATGACAGCTCACACCAAAGAGCATGGAGGAGGGCTCCTGCCAACTCCCCTGAGCAGAAAGGCAAGAGCATTTGTTTTCATATAAATTTGTTAATTTATTAAACAGGATTAACAATCAACTGTCCAGAATCCAAACAATTTCTCAGCAACATTTTTTTTTTTTGAGAAAAATTACCCAAAAAAGCTTGGTTCTAACAGCAACATTCTTAAATGTAATGATTTATCATTTTCTTTATAAAAGTAAGAAATTCACTCTCCTATCTATGTGTAGATATGCACCACGTATTTCAGAGATGAGTACTTCACTGAGAAGACAAATATGAAAACCTAGAAAGAATGGAAACGTTCCCAGCACTCAGGTGCTTGGCTGAGAGCGAGGCAGATGCTACACACCACCACCACAGCCCTCTGCCAAAGGCAACTTTTTGGCGTAGTATCTTTGGAGCACACGTCTTTGTAGCCACCTAAATCATGCCACACATCACACTCCCTCCTCAGGTGCACCAAGATGCTCTCTGACTGTTGGAAAATTATGGTCTCTCCTCTGGATGCATGGCTCTATTGCATATTAGCAAAGAATACTGTCATGTAATGCAAAATGGAATTTTGGTGAATATTTCCTCATAAATTCTCCACCAAAATGAAGATCTGACTTTAGCCAGTGCTGTGGTTAAGTGAGAGAAGCAATTCAGATAGAACCTGAGACAGTAGTTGATATTGGGCCCAAGCTTATTCATTTACTCACTGGGTTTTAACAGTGCCTAAAGATTACAAGTCAGAAAGAGCACAGAATGACTAAAGCAGGCAATCAAGCACAATTTTTCTAGGGTTCTAAACAAAGGTACAGGAAGAGCAAAATGTAGTTCACAGGAATTCCCCAGGGTGAGTACAAAACTGGGAAGAATCTCAGAAGGCAGATTTTGGCCCAAAATGGTAAAAGTGTTCCAACTTCCTATGCAAGTATGAGCACAGCTAGAGCACAAGCTGTGTGCTTCTGTGGCAGTGACACTGTAAGGCCTGAGACACAGAACTCCTTGGCTGAGGGAGGATGCCAGAAAGGTTTTCTTAAAACAACAACAACAAAACCAAACAGAAAACCTTCAGGCTTGTGCACCAGTTCCCAGCTTGTTCTTATCCTAGTCCTGTTAGCACAAGCCTAACCACAGGTAAACCTCGCTGTAGCCAAACCTCCCTATCTGCATGAATGGGAAGAAATCCTCTGCTTCCAAAGTGCTCGCATGCTTCCTCTGTGGCACACCTTTTCCCGAGAAAGGCAAAGATTAATCCTGGCCACAGTCACAGGAGTGGTTATTCCTGTAATGCAGAAAAAGGTTAAGGCATGGCAGGGGACCTCCTTCTGCTCTCACTTATTGGGCAGAAGCAGCAGATGAAGGGAGGAGTTGAATCTGCTTGCTCAACAGCAAGAGGAAGCTGGATGTCCATTTGGGACACAGTTCATGGAGGTGATGTGTGGGTGTGTATGATAGGAGCCTGATTGTGCTTAGTGCTGTAAGGGTTAACACTGGGCACCAGTAATGGTGACCCCTGGCACCTCCTCCTGCTGCTCCCCAGCAGAGCAGAGCCAAGCACACACGAGGAAGGGGCCAGTGCTCCACGCTGGCTCTCAGGATGCATCACGAGGTGGCAGGCATCATCCCATAGGCTTCATACAGCGTGTTAAGAAGCTCCTGCTTTTCTTTCTCAGGTAAGAAGCTGGACTGAGCTGCATTGATGTTCTGAGAAGGCAGATGGAGAACAGAAGGGAGATGTTAAGACACACCAGAGACGTGGTTGTACATATCCTAATATCTCCGACCAGGCTGAGGGAAGGTGAAGTTTCTACTCCAAGATACACTTCCACAGACTCATTTCCCAGGGCAGCTGCTCTGTCTCTCCCACTAGCAGCAATCCCAAGAGGAATGCAGCAGGCACAAGGAGGGGGTCTTTAAATACTCTGGAGTTGGTAGGAATGGGTCTAAAGAGCGTATCCTACACTACGGCTTCTCTTTGTGCCAGCACAGCTGGTGGTGGCAGCTTGATGCATGCTGTGTGACAGCCTGGTTGCACAATGTCACCTGCTGGCCGGCCTCATGCAGGGATGTTTCTTTTGTTTGGCTTCTGCAAGGGCAGGAAAGGACAGCTGGCATCCAGGGACCTCAGCTCCAAGCTGCCCTTCAGTGCACCCTGGATTTCCTGCTTCCAAGCAAATATCCTTGCAGACAAGGAGGTGGGAGTCATGAGCATAGCTCCCTTTGATGTGCGGATAAGCCAGACTCCCAACACCTGCCTGTCTTTCTACCTTGGGTCAGTAATTGGAAAAATCAATGAAAAAAGCCAGTTTTCTGGTTATAAGACACAAGTGACTGCACACCAAACTAGGAGTCATTTTGTTTTCAGTTTAGTTTGCAAGTGCAAAAACTGCAAGCACTTTTGTAGATGCTGAATCTTAGTAACTTTTGGGGCAGGCTTTGAAATAACCTCCCTACAATTCCAAACTGATGTAAAAAAGCAAAAGGTCCCTTCCTTCCCTACTGCTCAGACCTGCTTTGTAGATCTTCCTAGACTATTTCTACCAAACACAGCCATGCAATGCCTCCAGCTTCCATGCTGCACGAAGCCCTGCAGGATTTTATTTCCATTGAAAACTCTTGGTTTATGAAGAAAGAAAAAAAAGCTGATGTCTCTGGGCTTCACCAGGACTCCTGCAGAGCATCAGCCGAGGTCAACTCACCACTCTCTTGAAATCCTCCTCAGTGAAGTCCATGTACTCCTTCACTATGCTGTAATCCTTGTCAATGGTGGAATTGAAGATGAGGGGGTCATCGGTGTTGATAGAATAATTAGCTTGATCCTTCTTAAACCTGTAAGGGACTCGGTTCAGAACAGTGGGTAAGAGCCTTGCTGCAGCACAGCAGCTCGAAGCAGTCACAACTGGGTGGGGACTTTTAAGATTACACATTATTTGTAAGCCTTACTGAACTACTGGGTGTTTCCTGAAGTCCGGAAGACATGCTCCAGTCAGATAGCTGGACCAGGGGCAGACCTGGTTGTGGGAGTTAAGCAGAGTAAAACAGGATCAGCCATGCAGACCTGAACCACAACTGCACGGGCAGATAGCTGCGTGCAGGCAAAGCAGCCCAGGGCCTTGCCCAGGCACTCCCACCTCCCACTCTGCAGTGCTGAGGCCTCACCTCAAAGTGCATTTTGGTTCTCAGCAGCTCCCTGTACAGCTCGGGGTCCTCCAGCACATGGTAGCCATGGCCGATGCGCTCAGCCTTCAGGACGTACACGGCCTGGGGAGCAGGGGGAGCAGCTGCAGCCCACGAGCACGGCAAGGCCAACATGGAAACCACTTGGGCTTCCTATGGGGCCAGCCATGGGGCTTCCACCCCGCACCCCGCACCCCTCGTACCTCCTTGACCATGGCAGCCGGCCCGGCCTCCCCAGCATGGACGGTGCGATGGATGCCGCATCGCTCTGCTTCCTGCAAGGCGAGGGAGGCAACGCTTGGGTCTGACCCTGAGGAAAGGTCCCATTTGCCAACAGCCCCCAGCCCACAGAGGACGAGGCTGGTAACCACAGACTCGCAGAACGTCAGTGGTAACACCACCAGCAGCAGGATTTCCCTGCCCATGGGCACTCAAAGCTTCGGGGCAGGGGCAGGCAGTGATGGCAGCCCAGCTGTTTCACTGAGCTCCAGCCCCGCGTCTGCTGTGAACCACTGGGATATAAACATGGGATCAACAAAATATTTTTAACAGCTGCAATTAATTTTTAAGCTCTCCCAGTTGTTTGTGGTCTGAATAAAGTGCTGCATGTCCCCTAGGCAAGAATAACCCTGTGGGTGTTTTCTTATCGTTGTTTTAAAGAAGTTTATTCAACAAACCTCGTAAGCCTTCTTATGATCAGAAGAAGCCTTCAGCATCTCATCCCCAGCCAGGTCTATGGCCACCACGGAGTTGTTTTGATACTTCTTGCACAGCTCCACCACCTCTGGAGACCAACCTGGAAAAGACAGTACCAGTATTCAGGAGAAAGTTTTTGTATAATCACACCTTGAGCGCTTTCTAACCCTGGGATGTGGTGTCATGGGATAGTTGAGGTTGGGGTGCACCTCTGCACAGCAGCAATCCCGCCCTGCTGCACAGCATCACCAGCTCCTCCAGACATGATGATGGAAAGCAGCTGCAAAGCCTCCTGGCAAACCAACCTTTGGCAGTTTTATCTTTTTGGTATCAGTGGGAAACAGAGCAACAAATGGCCAACATGTACTCAAGAGTTATCTCTGACCAGGACACAGTATAATCTCTTGAAAAGGAAATGCATCTATTAGCTGATACTGCACCTACCCTTAACAAGAGGGACAAGAAACAAGAGATAAACTCCAGTGTTAATTATTAACAGGCACCTGCTGTGCACCTACAGTCCTGAAGTCATACGAACACATAAGAAAATTGGTGCAAATTCATCATCTTTTATCACTACTTTCAAACTCATCAGGTGCAGCCGTTGTTTTATTAACCACTTCAATATGCACTATCTCTGGCTGACATTTCTGCCTCTCCCAACAATTCCTAAGTTCCAAGGTGGCCTCAAGGGAAAAACTTTGTGCCCTGACACCACCTTTTCAGGTAGCACATGCACTAAAATGCAGACTCAGTTGTTTCCAAGAGGAGCTCTTGCTGTTATGCAAACGCATGATGCAAGTGCTGCCCACACCCTGCAGTACTGCAGCTGCAGACACCTTGGACACAGCTTACAGCTTCCTGTTTCAGCAGCCTTTCTTCCTAGAAATCAGAAGCCCAACGGTCAAGGTTTCAAATTTTTGCTTTGGTTTCATTGAGCAAATAGAAAAAAGTCACCCTCAAATCTTCCCCTTTCCTGGAATTTAATTTTTCTTATATTCAGGCACAAATTGGCCATATTTTTGTTAGCAAAAACGTTCATCTTATTGAACCTGATGAAAAATGTTGTGAGGATCTGAAGACATTCACAGCTAAGGCCATGCAACTTGCTCCAGCTGCACTTCTCCCGAGGTGAAGACGTTCATGGAACTCAGCAGCCCAACAGAATTCTGCTACTGAATAAGGTTAGAACTGCCAATTTGGGGAAACACCCTCGGTATTTGGAGCTTAAGTCTGTTCTATGTATCGTTCCATTTAAAACCAGCAGCAAGTTAGTGGCCAGCCTGCCCCTGCTGTTGGCTTTGGCTGTGCTGCCCTAGGAGAGCTCTGGTCCTTGGGCAGGGTGCAGGGTGCAGGAATCACAGCTCCCCCAGGAGATTTCAGCTAGCTCTCCTGATCTGCTCCATTTTCACAACCAGCAGAGCCTTTATAGGAGCAGAGGGCCCTGCCAGAGGGAAAAAAGCTCAGTCTCAGCGTGTGTAGTCCCACATCACACCTAGGGCCACATCTCTGCAGGGACCTGAACCCAGGGGATGTCTGCCGCGCCACGCATCAGGGAAGGGGAGCAGAGCAGCAGGTGAGCTGCAATACATTACTTGGCATATGGCGCATGCAGCATAGAATAGACCTGGCTTTGATGTGGAAATCCCTTTCTCCATCCTGCAGTCCCTGATTTACGAGGTTAACAACTTCCTCCGGAGTGAGGTCCCCCCTGTGGGGAAGAAGAGATGGTGAGAGGCTGGGCAGTGCTGTGGGTGGGCAGGAGCTGCAGGGACCCACAGTGAGCAGAGATCCCACAAAGGCAAGGCTTCCCAGATCCTGCTCGTAGCAACATCCCCAAGAGCACAAACCAGATCCCCCAAGCAAACAAGCACATTTACACCCACACCACACCCTTGTTTACAAGATGTCAGACATAAAACCATGCAGGGACGTCTAGCACAGTTTAGCAAAGTGACAAGGAACAGGATTGCCAATCCCACTGGGGCACTTTTACAGCAGCAGGTGCCCTAATACCCCTGTACAACAGGCCTGTGGGGTCCCTCCTACCCAGCTGAGACATATTTTGGCCAGTGATCTGTACGAGGGTAAAGCCAGACTTCAGTCAGCACCTGTCCCAGCAAAAGCCACTGCAACATGTTCTGCAAGGGTCCATCAAGCCCTGGTTTCATTAGACATGTATTAGAGCACAGGTGACATTGAGACAAGGGACCAGGAGATCACCAGCCCCCCGCAATGCTGACTGCTGCCTCTCCCAGCTCCAATTTCCACTTTGCAGGCAGGCAGACCCTACGTGAGCCCTGCTTCCCTTCACGTGGAGAACAGCTTCAGCCAAAAGCTCAAGCGCAGCTGCTTCACACATGCAGAACTAAGTGCCTGCAGCAAGGCACACTCAAACATGACAGCACGCCGAGGTATGAGACGAGGAAAAACACCATGAATGGGACTAGGAGAAGGAGGAGTGCCAGAGCCGGTTGCACTGGAGGAACTGGAGGACTTGGGTGACAGATACACTGCCCAACCCGCATGGGTGCTGGCTCCTGGTGCTGGGAGCTGAGCTGTGCCAGCCAGGGAGCACAGTGGGAGCATTTACAATTCAAAATGCAATTACATTAAAAGTCATGATGAAATCTTACTAATTAACTCGCTGCAGCAAGTTATGAAAAAAAAAACAACCAAAAAACATTAGTCTTCGCATCCCCCTGAGTTGCAACACTTTGCCTAAGGAGAAAGGAGGATGGGGTAGGCAAGGTGAGCTGTCTGCAGCCAAACAGCCCTGTCTGGGCTCCAGCCCCGTGGGATGGGATGGGATGGGATGGGATGGGATGGGATGGGATGGGATGGGATGGGATGGAGGAGTCACTCACTCAGCCTGTCCCCAGGGGATGGGCTCCACACGGCAGTTGGCCAGCAGGTGAGGGCTGTACCGCACCTCCACGTAGATGACGCCTTCCTTTGCCTTCGTCTCCACCAGCTCATATGCGATCCTCCGCACCGCCTCGCGGTCCCCCCTGCAGGGACAGCAATGGGATCCATCACCCCTGCCACCACGAGGGAACCCAGAGGGATCCCACCGAGGTGGGTACTCACGCAATGGCGGGCATGTAGTGATTAAATTTCTCTAGAAATAGTTTGAGCGACAGCGGTACTTCATAGCTGACGTGTTTCATGAGGTCATCAACGGTGCTGCCGGGGAGAGGAACCCCTCTTTTCCTGGAAATGAAGCCACATTTTACTGATGGGGAGGGTTATCACATTTTCAATCAGCTTATTCTGTACAGCAAACATGTCTCGAGCTGGCAGAGCCGGCCGCTGTTTCTTCCCAGAAGAGATACGGCACACACTGTGCTTCCAGAGCAGATGTGGCCCTAGACCTCTGAAGGGAGCATGGCAACCCCAGGCATGAGAAAACACAGGCGCTTGGAGTTACAAGCCCACAGCAACCCTGTGGAAGCAGAGCCAGGGCACAGCGCAGGCTTCAGCGTGAGCTCAACTGATGGAGCTTGGGATTATTTTTTGGCACCTCCCAGTCCCAGAAGCAGAACTGCCAAACTTCCTTAGAAAAGTCATTTCTCACAGAGGCTTCAGAGCCTGAGCAATCAAGGAGGATCACAGGCTTGGGACCACACCAAACACACAGGCTCTGCTGTGAGTGAGCCCATTCCCCAGCCCCATATTACAGCACCCATTAGCATGCCAAGAACCGCACGCCTCCAGGCAGGCTTCCCCATCCACGCACTGTCACCTACCCACAAACGCCAGCCTAAGTCAGGAATAATAACCAGACATTTGTATTTAATCCTCTTTTCTTCCCAGCACTGTCAGGATGAATTACAGCCGACTGACGGACGTTTCTCTGCTAATAGAGACAAGGCAGCGGTGACAGCTCCAGCAGCCCGCTGCCAGCAGCCACCCCACAGGAAAGCAGCCCCATCAGCACCGCTGCAGGGCTGAGCACATGCTGCTCACTTCCCCACTGAGGCAGGCAGGAAACCAGCCCCACGCTCAGCCTTCAGATGCAATCGGCACAGATTAAGTTGCTGGCACTCGGCGGGGACGGGACGCTCATCGCTGCCAAGGCATCGGCTTTCCTCCCCGCAGTGCCCTTTCCACACTGCTGTCAGCTCTGGCTCAGCTCTCCCCTGCCTGCCCTGGGAGCGCTCCTGCACAGCCGTGAGCAAAGCTGTCCCACTCCAGCGATGGCACCTGGGGACACTCCGTAGCACAAGGCTGCTGGCGCCGGCCCTCTGCCTTTGGAACTGATGTTAAGCCAAATTTCCGAAAACCGACTTCCTCCCCAAATTAATGGAGCTGTGCTTAAGAGCTGCTTCCTGAAATCTTTCAGCTTGCCACATCCTTGATCTGTGATTATCTGCTCATGTTTGTTCACGCTGTCAACGATCATAGCTGGAGGAAGTCTTCAGCTCCTTCTGCCTACAGCTGCAGAGCCAGGTCCTCACCCCAATTATTCAAAGCCCACCAGCTTCCCAAAGCCAAACCACCACCTGGAGCCTTCCTCCCCCAGATACTCACTTGCCGAAGTGTAAGATTGTTTCTGGCCGAATGGCTCCATCCAGATGGATGTGAAGTTCCACCTGCAGTAACACAAAGAGACATCAGAGAGGTACTCCTGGAGCTGCAGCAAAGCCTTAAGATGGGCATGCAGTGCTAACACGGGTATAAATGCTGCTAACACAGGGACCAAGTCACAAAAACCAAATGCAAAACCATTTGAAGAACATCGTTGTTAAGAAGTTCAGTTTTGATAGCCGAAGTATTGTCCAAGTATTTTCTGATTCCTGATGCACATCCAGATATAATAGATTTGGCACTCATCAACTTTAGATTAAGCAACAGCTCTTCAGAAACTTGTTGTGTTTTTCAGTAACATAAAGTGTTTTTTCATGAACTGCCTTATCCGTACTTAGCTCGTGTGGCTTGGAAGGTTGAAAAAACAACCCTCAAACAAGCATCAGTCAACTTGATAAAAGTCATAACCCAAGAACTTGGACTCTGCTTCCAGGAATCTGCTCCAGATACAATCTTAATTATTTGGCGTTATCGAAGCACGTAGGCTTTGTAAAGCTACACATGGAGTCCCAAAGCAGAAGGCACTGTGCACAGAAGTACAAGAGCTGCCCCATAGCGCTCGCAAGCTGACTTCAAAATAAGATGATTCATTTAGACTCAAGAGAAATGGGACGGTAACTAAGGTCCCTGTGAAATCCTGTTTTGGAAGAAGAGTCACAGAGAAGGGAAAATGAGCTTTTCCAATTAGGCAGCTGGAGCTTTGGAGGAACACAACAAATGTAATTTGGAAGTTGAGCTGGGAGGGAAAATTTTAGCTGTAAAATGGTTCAGCTAGATCATGGTGTTTCTAGAACTGTTTGTTTTTAAGCAACAGAATAGCCATATAATAAATATTTGTGTACCAAAGGAAGACTCTGAAGCACAAAGCAGCTGTTGGGAATGAAAGCCTCCAGACCAACTTTGCTCGCTCCAATGTGGATGAAGAGAGACACCCGTATACCAAAACACCCAGGGAGAGACTGTCTCACCTCTGCCAGCCAGGTGTGGGCCACAAACATCTGGTAAACATCTGCTTAACCAGTGGGGGTGATCCTGCACTGCAGCCAGCCAGGGGTCACAGCCCCACCAACAAAGATATGGCTGTTACCTCTCCTACCCTACAGACATGACCTGAGCCCTACGGAGATGGAGATTTCCAAAGGGCACAGTCTGATCTTTCCCCCTGCCCTGAGTTTCGCAATGCTGTTTGCAAGGACTAATCCTGGAAAGCAGCAGATAAAGGAACGCATGATGGACATGATCTGCATCACCAGATGTGGACAGCTGGCACGTTTTCCACTCCTGAGCTCTGACTGCAATTTCAACACCTCGTGAGCTCCATTCCTTGAGGTTTTCAACAGCCCCTGTGACCTCCTGGTGGAGTTGCAGCCTGAGACTTGCTCACCCAGACAGGAAAACCCAAAGCTGAACCTACCCCACACATCCCTCAGATGCTCCCTGCCACCCCAACACCACGCTTCCATTCATGTGAAAGCACACTCAGCACTGTGCATGCAATCCACCTCCTGCTGCTGATGTAGGCAGCTCAGACAGCAGCAGTGCTCCTCTGCAGCACCAGCACGAGGCTTCTCACACCATGCATCTCAGCTGCCTTCTTCACCAACCGTGCAGTTTCCAGGTCTGTAGGAGGCTGCAGAGCTCCACTGCAGATCCTTTCTTCTGTGTTTGTTTTGGGCAAACAAAGCCTAAGGCTTTCCCAGATAGAAGTGGGTAACGTGACCTTGCTTTAAGTCAAGGAAAGTACACAGATAAAGATGAAAGAGTTTGCATGAGGTTGCAGGAGACGCTGCCCGAGCAAGCAGCAGCCCTGACACAGAGGCACACATGTATGGATCCCATCTCATAGTGAATCCTAGCTTTGTTTGGAAGGACCTGGGCTTACAGACCAACCATGCTCAGCCCAGGACTATGGCAACTCAGTAACCCCCAAGTTTGGCAACAGAGTGACCCAAAGCCCAGATGAGCTCCAAAAACATGAGATGCCCTGATCCACGGGTGCCCTCAGAATAGAGCTGTCAGAGCACTGTTTGCTGTTTCTATGCAAAAATAAGAAAAAAATAGATCAACAACAGCACGTAATGTGCTAGAGCAGAGGGCAGCAAGATGGTTCAGCTTTAAGTTAAACAGAGAGAAGTGCTAAGAGCTCTGGCTTGGCCTCTCCCTTTGAAAACACTGCAGTATTTTCTTTGAAACTTGGTAAGATTCAAAAATAACCTCCAATGCAAACTGCAAACAAATCTGTTCCAAGTCTGATTATTTTCAGTTTAGTGATGTGAGGAGGAAGAGGCTCCTGAGACACTCAGTGCTTTTGGCTGCAGACACACAGCAGTGCCTAGCAGGCCGTGACAGATCTGCTGGCTGCTCTGCTGGCTTCTGTGTGGCATAAAGGCACTGTCCACACAAGTGCACTTGAGGGAGCTTTCATATGAGGTGCCCATTATTTCCTTATGATGACTGTTACTGATCCACCAAGCAGTCAGCAGCAGCAGCTCAGCGCTGGAGCTGCACAGCTCTGAGGCTACAGTAGAAGAACCACAAACCTTACCTTTCCTTTGACCATTTCTAGCAGACATTTATAGATTATCTAAGCACAAGCTGCAACGTTTTAAAACCTCAACAGTGACTGCCTGGGGTTATTTATCAACACATTAAAAGGTGATAATCTGAAGCCAGCTTTATTGATTTCAATAACTGCATAAGCACAGCCACAATTGGTCAAAGCCTAAGGCAGAAAAATGTTGAGATCATCATTCCTCAGGAGATAAGGTGAATGCCAACCTCTGCAAAAAGAACAGGCCGTGCTTCCCCAGCACTGGATTTATGACAGCGCGCTGCCATGAGCTGAGCCATGCATGTCACTATGTGGCCACACAGCTCCTGCCAGCAGCACCAGCTGAGGCTGCTCCAGGGGATGTGAGGCAGCAGGGATGCAGCTTTGTCCTCACACCCCATGAAACCCACAGGTGCTGTCGGCAGACAGATCTGCCACCACCTTAAGATGTCGGTTTGAGTCTCTAAATGAGAAACGCGGTGACTTAGACCAGGTGACAGGCTGCAAGAAATACCCATGCTTCCCATTCCATGCAAGCCTTTACCGCTCTTTATGGCCCACAGAAAGCAAGGGGCAAAGCTCAGCCCCACAGCGGCCAGCAGTCAGCACAGCCCTGAGAAGCACGTGGCCTGGCTCAAAGCTGCTCTGGGTGCCAGAAACGTCCCTAAAGCACAAAAGTGACAGTTCCCAATGGCATAGGGTCCTGAGGGATGAATAGAGGTGAGCAGGACCCATTGACTGCCTTTAGACCTCGCGTGAGCAGGTTGGTGGGGCTGAAAGAGACTGCCTGACTCATGAAATCCCACTGACAGCCACACAACAAAGCTGATTCGTGTGCACACACGGCACAGGGCCTCCCTGCTCCCTCTCTTCTGCATCCCACTGCCTGCATGGAGCAAGCAGGGAGAAACACAACTGAAAGGAGAACTTAACTTGCTTCTTTCAGCCAAAACCATGAAACCACTGGGGTGAATGAATAGCTTTTGCCCGTAGCGGAGCTGATGGAACGCCAACACCTCCTAGAACTGGAGCAGCCTTAACCAGGCTTTAGCCACTACCAGCTGTCAGCATTCCTGACAGCCCACGAGCGAGTTCCCTGCAGAGAAAGCAGCCGGGAGGTGGTGACTGCTGAGCACACCTGCCTTATCTTCTTCCCTCTCACCTCCAACAGGTATGTTACTCAATGAGCCTATTGCAATGCATTTACCCAGCAAACGGGGAGAACAAAACAGCGGAGCAGCCTTCGATCCCAGACACTAAGACACGATCTCAAATAAAAAGACATATTTAAGAGAGAAAAGAAGGAAATACAAGCAGAGATCCTGCAGAGGCCTCCCACCTCCCGGGCCGTACCCTCACCGGGCTGCCCGGAGGAGCGGCTCTGCAGGGGAACCGCGGGGCAGCCGCAGGTCGCGCTTTGAGGTGCTCGGGGCCGGCTGCCCCCGCACGGCACAGCGCCCGTCTCCCAGCGCAACGCACGGCACACAAACCCAGCGGACACGCAGCACAGCCCGGCTCGCAGCCCGGCACCGCCTCACCTTGGGTTCCCCGAAGACTCGCACACCCCGCTCCATTCCGCTCCTGCAGCCCCTACCGTTCCTGCAACCGTCGCTCGGCTCCACGCCGCCCCGCCCCGCCCGGCCGTCCCGCCCCGCCCCGCCGGCAGGGAGGGTGCAGCCGGGGGCTGCTTCGGTACTTTCAGCCACGCTTCGCGTTTCGCCTCCTTGCCTTCCCCTCCCCGAGGTGATGCACGTGGCACTCGAGGCACACGGAGGAGAAATCCCCGCTCCCCCCCCCCTCCAGCACCGCAGGGTAGAATGGGTTGGGTTTGGGAGGCCGAGCTGGCAGCCACCGCAGCACCCCTTGGCTGCAGCCGCTGAGCTAACAGCGCATCTGCGAGGCGGCACCGCTCCCTGCTGTGATGTGCCCTGGTCCCAGTGCAGCCATGGTGATGCCAGATCTCCTAAATCAAGTGCTACGGAGTCACTCTGCACAGCTGCAATCCCCCCCAGGTGCCCCCAGACCTCAAGGCTGGGCCACAAACAAAAATCACTCGATCAGTGTAAAACACCCCTATTGCCTGCACTGGTGTGCAAGCAGAGACAGCGCACAGGGCTGCAGGCGTAAGTGCTACCGCAAGTGGATAGAAACGGAGTTCTCTCTTGTTGCCCAATTGTGTTTGCACCAGGGTCAGTGTTTGAGGGAAGGCACAGAGCTCAGCACTGCTCTGACTGCCTGCAACAGCCTGATCCAGGTGGAAGCCTGCAGACACAGCTCAGGGACGTGCAGGCTGGCAGCAGGGGTGAAACGGCACTGTCCTGCTGAGCTCCCACAGACAACGTCACCTCTGTGCTACTGTTGGGTTTTTTTGTTTGTTTTATGTTTTTAAATATCTATCTGGAAACATCTAGTTCGTTTTGAGCATGCAATGCTCAGAGGTCTGACTTCTGTTCCAAAAGCATCTGTAGCACAGATGGTCCCCAAGCGAAGCACAGTGCTCTCTCGTGGTCTCCTGAAGGCACAACCTCGCTCACAGCCTCTGCTGAGGTTAGGAGAAATAACAAGGCAGAAGAGGCCAGGAGAAAAGCTGTTAGCCAAGGTCAAGGAGGTGAACAGAGCTGAAGCAAGGAGTGCCGCAGGAGGTGTGGGTTTCATCCTGCTGACTAATGCCTGCCTTTGCTGACTCAGCTCTTTCCAGGAGAGCCACCAGCAGCTGCTGTCAGCAGCACCCAGCTGTGTTAGAGCCCTCCAAATGAGGCATGAGCTGAGTGACTGACCTCACCCTGACCCCTTTATCCATCCTCACTGCTACTCAGCCAGGCAAATCTATATAGTTGATATGAAATAAATGTTTCCCTACTGATGTCCTCATAGCAGTTTCCCACCTGGGAAATGGGAAGGACACAGAAAGAGACCTGTTAGATCCCCAGCAATGACTGCTCAGAGCCTCAAGCCTCATTGGCTCTGCCATACTGCAACATACTCTGGTGCTGGGCTTAGATTTTCCAAAACAAAACAAAACACCACATTTTCACACCTGTGTGAAAAATAAGCATCACACTGCAGCCCATTGCAAGCAGCCGAAGGAGGAAAAGTGTTTAAGTTGTATCAGTAAAGGACTACCAATGCTGATTCAGAAAATCCCCTGCCCCAGGGTGAGCCCACCCCAGCCCCTGTGCTGGAATCCCTTCTTTGTTTCCCAGTAGCTGCTCTGGGGTGCAGATGATGCTGTCCTGAGGCAGGTTGCAGCTTCCCATAGCAGATACAGGGGACACCCAATGCATGCCCAGCTGAGTGCTGAGTGACAGCAAGGCCAGCACAGCACAGGGCACACAGTCATGTCCTGGGCTGCAGCTGCCTGCAGAGCCGCGTGGGCTGCTGCAAGCTCATCCCCTAATGGGATTAGGAACAGTAAAACCAAGCCAGCTTGTACTGAGCATCAGGCCACCCCGAGGTACTGTGACCTGCTCTGGGCATCTGGAGCAGAAAGGCCACCCCAGGATGGCAGTAATGCAAAGAAAAGGTAGACAAGCAGAGCCAGTGCTTTGTGCTGGGGAGGAGAGCAACAGTTTGGGACTGGCAGTGCTTCAACCCTAGAAACTCCTCCAGGACCCAGCCCGTCGGCATTGAGCCCCTGGCAGAGCAGAGCCCCTTCCCACGCACAGCTTTGGGATGACGAGAGGTCACCGTGCACCAGGGCCAGAAATCTCGTGTGGGTGCTGTGCTGCCTCCCCTCCACGTGGAGCAGAACCCCCGGTAGTGCTTCGCACCAGGAAGAGCCCGATTCAGACACACACCGCTCCCTCCCTGCCCCGACTGTCACAAGGGAAGCAGGACGCGGCCAGGATCGCGCACGCAGCCGGCACCGCCCGCAGCACAGCTCTGCTCGGGCCGGAAGGGACCCGCACGTGTCGCTCCGAGCTGCCCTCCCGGCCCCGGTAATTGGATTGCAGCGCTCGGCCGGACGCTGCGCCGCGCCGCCGGAGGGCAGAATTAACCCGAGCACAGCTCCTCTCCGGAAGGCTGCAAGGTCAGCGTAGCGAATCTCCGTCCTCGCTGCAACAGCCAAAACGGATAAAAAACGAAGGAAAAAACCCAATTTGCTGAATGCAACCTTCCCAGAGCCGCTTTGCCTGGGACTGAGCGGAGCACAGCGGCCGAACATTGCCCTCCTCCGACGCTCCTCAGTACCGCAGCTCAGCAGGACGCAGTCCCAGCACGGAGCCCTGACCCGCAGGCTGCCGCTGCACTTCCAACCCCTCCCCAGGTGCCCAGGGAGAGCTTTCTGGGGGCTGACCCAACCCCCCTCCCCACACACACACCCAGGTCAGCTCTGGGCTTTTGCACGGGCTGTAACTGAGCTCTCAGTCCTACATCGCAGCGTTATTTGGGACTGGGCTGATGCCTCCTGCTTTGCCAGGCACTGCCTCGGGGGTCCTGCAGCACTAGAAGGGGTGAGCACTGTTGTACCTGAACAACACCACATCGGGGATAGTACTGCCTTATCCCATTAGTGTGGGCTCCGACCCAGCCCTCTACCTTAGGCACCAGTGGTGCCAGAGCTGAAAGAGCTCCCAGTTCCTCCCAGCACACCTGTGGACCAGCACTGCCCTATACCTCAATCTCAGTTCACACAGCTGCCTCCATGCCCCAACCCAGAGATGGCAGCTGGATCCAAGCAAGATCATAAGGCTGTACTGCTGTGATAGGTCCCTCTTTGCACCAGGAGCTCAGCCTGCAGGGCCATAGTGAGGGGCAGGATGGTACCATACCTGGAAGGCAGCTAACAGGGTCTGGCTCAAGGTCCCCCTGGCCAGGTGTGGCCTTGCTGGAGTCCTGCACTCCCCAGTGCAGCCCAAAGTGTCTGAGCCTCTGGGCTGTGCTTAAATAGAGCTCCTGGGCCAGGTGTGTGGGCACACAGGTGGGGCAGGTAATTAGTGTCCTCTGAGCTCTGACACTTGCAGCACTGCGTCCTTCTGAGCATACTGGGGTTGCACTGACTCCTCCACCACCCTGATGCAGTGCCCCGGTGCTGTCAGCCCCAGCAGCTGCTGGGTTGGACATCCATGGGGCTGGGAGTCCTCAGCCAATGTGCTCTGCTGTGCAAAGAGCTTCCCAGAAGACGTTGGAGATGTGGAGATCATCTCTTCTACCCTAGGGACTATTGCACAGTGAAGGAGAAATAGCAGGAATGGAGAGAGAGGCAGAAGGGCGAAGGAGAGAAGCAGGAGTGAAACAGCCAGGTGCTCCCATCACCACATGCCAGCTCAAGATGGAAACTGCTGGGGGGCACTGAGGGCTGCCTGGCTGCTGCCCCACACAGATGGGCATGGCCTCCTGCCACAGCAAGGAATGTCTGAGAGAAACCAATGCTTGCCGTGTGGAGCTGGAAACTGCTGGAGACGCTTTAATCCGCCTAATCCAGGGCTCTGGCCCAATTAATATTCTATAGGATCTCCTGGAGCTCTTGTTTTGTTCTGTTCTTGGCTTGAAGGGCTGCCCAAGAAATTGAAAACAGATTATTGGGACGAAAACAGCTTCAATTTGTAGACAGCTGTCTCTACCAAAGCTGGCTTCGATTCCAGCCATTCCCCAGGCGTGATGCAAGCCTGGCTAGAAGAAATTTCTCCCCAGTGGCAGCAGAAGGGCTTTTCTTAGGAGCACGGCAGCGTGCTGGGCGAGCGGGGCAAGCGGAGGAGGCGCTGCGGCTGCAGCTCGGGGCAGAGCGCTGCGTCCCCGCGTGTCCCGGCCCCGAACCCCCGGCACTGCGCTGCGTCCCCGGGCCCGGCGCTGCCGCCAGGGGGAGGCAGAGGCCGCGCGGTGCGGGGTCACCGCTGCGATCTGAGGGGTCCCGGGTCGGGCTGCGGTCGTGCGGAGGTTGGGGCTGAGGCTCCTCCAGAAGTTGGCACCGTGGGAGGGTGCAGGTCGGCACCAGACGGGACAGGATTCTGTTCCTCCGCGGGCTCGGGGCTTGAGCAGACCCCCGAGTATGGCCAGAGCCCACCGTGAGACCCCAGGAAAGCATCCGCTGGGGGAAGGATGCCTGGGGAAGCTGCTTGGTGGAGGACAGCTGGCAAAACCACATTGTGTCAGGTTAACGTGTGGGTCTGCAGGAGAACTGGCTCTGCGACACAAAAGTGGCCCAGACTGTGACTCATAATAGCCCAGTGGTATTTTAAATGCTGTATTTCCAGCTGACTCAGGGCTCTGGGAAGAACAACGTGAGGTCAGACCGGTGGGCTGCCACTGTATGGCAATGCCAGCCTTTGCAGTATGGCAGTTTCAGGGTCTGCCATATGGTAATTCAGCTTCTGCTGTATGGTGACGTTGACCTCTGCTTTATGGCAATGCCAACCTCTGCCAGCACAGTGCCAGCAATGCTCCCACCCATTGCCCATCTGCCTCACGCCCACCCCAGTGACATTTGGGAAAGGAGTGAGGAGGGCAGAGGAATGCACACAGGGCTGACACACTCATTCATCCCCCACCCCCGACTGCGATGCATTCCAGGCAGCCCTCCTACAACACCACATTTGCTTCACCACAGTCCATCCCTGCACATGCTCACTTATCCTCTGCCAGGAAGGCCTCTCCCAAGGCACCTGGAGCAGCACCTGCCATAAATCAGGCAGACCTCCCTCACACCTCATTCTGCCATGCTGAAAAATGAGCACACAGCTTCTCATCTCAGCACCTGCAGCACGAGCTGGCTCTCAGGGTGTCCCAGCGCAGCCCAAGTGAGCTCAGATCCATTGGGCTGTGTGCATTTGGTGGTGCTGAACGTGGCCGCCTGCTTTGGCTTTGCATGCTGCTGAGATTGTCTCTGCTGGGTTTATTTTCACACAGCTCCTCAGAACGCAGAAAGTGAGAGCTCAAAGCAAACAGGAAAAAGGCAGGTTCTCTGGGCGGCTATTTTTAACCACTGCAAACAGCATCAGTGTCATTATATTTAGAAAAAAAATGCAGAGCGTTTCCTGCCTCCCCTCTCAATACCTTCAGCTATTTCCTTGCAGATGTTGCCAGGAGCAGCACGCAGACGGGCCGTGCTCTGGGACAGGAGGGCTGTAGCTGGGGAATGTGGCTCAGAGCAGGTGCCCCTGGCTCTTGAGGATGAGTGGGCAGTGAGGGCTCGGCCAGGTCCAAGTGCCACCACATGAGCTGCAGCACCTCAAGGATGCACCAAGGGTGAGCATGATGAAGATGCAACATCACAGTCAGCTCCTCCTGCCACGTGATGGGGATGGCAGATGACACCAGGAGGTCTCAGCTCTGGGTGGACAAGGGCAGGTGGCTCAGGATCTGCGCTTGCTGCTCAGAGAAGCTTCCCTTTGGCTTTGGTGTGCTCGGTTCCTCACATTGTGCTCAAGGACTGCGGTCGGTGAAGCGTTTGTGTTTCATTCCCAGCATTTGTGTTTCGCTCTGGGTGGCAGCAGCGTGGCAGACCGCAGCTCAGTGGGGCCACATGCAGCATCGCTGGGAAAGAGGCTCTCCCAACCCCAACCACACTGTGCTGGTTGTGCTTTCCAGCAAAACCCCAGCACGGGGAGAACGGGATTTCTACAAGTGGATAGGGAAGCTCTGTGCCCGAGGGAGGCGACAGAGAAACTGTTGGAAATGTGGTACAGATGGCACGAGCTGCAGCCAAAATCAGCTTAAACAGCCTGCAGCCAGGCGGTGGGTGATGGCAAGAGTACACAACACTGCTCTCGGTGGTATCCGTGGGAGATGTCCCTCCTTGGGCTCAGCAAAAGCAGCTGTGTGCCCCTACTGTGTTGGGCTGTGCTTCTCTTCTTGGACCCTGGCTCCCAAGAACTGCCTTCTAAGATGCTTCTTTGGGGCTCTGGTTGCTCAAAACAGAAGCAGAAGCCCTGACCAGGAGCAGGGTGTGCAGAGCTGTGGGTATGGCTGCTGTCACCAACTCTGCATGACACATGCAGACCAAACGCTCCCTTTCTGCACACCCCTCCCCAGAGACCCTCTCTCCCAGGACACCGAGCCCAGCTGTGCTGGGTGCCCACCCAAACCCCATCCTACAGGGGCTGCCGTGGCTCTCGTGCTGTGATCAGAGCATGTGTTCCATCCAGCCCAGCTGCTGCGTGCTCTTAATGAACACTGAGACCCGTATGGGATGACCTCCTCTCCTACCTCACAGGGGATGCTCGCTGGGGGCCATGGGTTTGCAGCCTCCCCAGCAGGTCCCTGCCCCACAGGCAGCCTGACAGCAGCAGCCTGGAGCCAAACATCTTTTACAAATCACGGCGCATAGCTCACATTCTCGGCTGGTTTATGAGTGTTTCATCTCCTCGTATTGATCAGGGCTGGAGCCGAAGTAATTACGTTCATCAGAAATAATTTCCCCTGATTTTGAGTCATATTTGAGCGGGTGCCCACCTCCCCCGCTCACCCCTTTCGGCACAGCAGCTCTCTGCTCCCTGGTACATACTTTCCGGGCGACATCGCTGCTTTCATAACCATGGTGAGACCTGAAGGCTTGTTTTTCTCAGCTGGATCCCACACACACTAAAGGTTTCAGCTGTGCCGTTAGGACTTGGCTGGGGACGTGGTCAGGAGGAGCTGGTTGATGGGAAGTGCACGCCTGGGAAGTCCAGCACTGGGAAGAGGGAGCTGGGAGCTGGGACCCTCTGCAGCACACCCCACCTAGACAAGGACTGGAGAACAAAATTTATTTCAGCCTTAAACCACAAGAAAAACAGGGATAGACAAAAAGAATGAGCAATGTGATCAGGAAACATGAGTTAGCCCCATGGAAAATACCAAGGGTCTGGACCCATGAGGTCAGGGTCTGGGTTTATATCTTGTCTGGGAGACAACCAGTGAGATTGTAAAAGAAGCTCGTGTTTGGAGATGCTTTGTACCAAAAATAATCTCTCCGAGGCTCACAACACTCGATACGTGATGATTCCTGACACTGTTTTCCAAATAATAATGGGAAGATTCATTTGCCTGAGGCTTCCAAGCTTCATCTTACAAAATTCTTATTCTTTGGGTTATCTGAATGTTTAACTTACGGGGACAGTTATGGATGGCTCTCGTCTGGGCTTCAGCAGAGACTCATTCTGAATTGCTGCCCAGGTTTTGCGATACCTGTTAAGAAGCAGCGCTGGCCCTTCTCAACACAGCTGGATGTTGTAGCGATAAGCCCCTCGAGTCTGAATTATGACATTCTCCATGATTTTGGCTAACAGAGCCCTTTCTCGGTCGCCACAGCCCATCAACTCCCCAGTGCAACCTCAGCTCCTTCCTCTCTGCAGGCACAGGGGCTGTGAATGGGACGGCCACCACCGCAGAGCCCCACTCGTGGGGTCCTCTGCGCTCAGCCCCGGCCCCCCATGGCAGCCCACAGGGGTCAGCGGTCCCAGCTGGAGCCGAGGGTTTCTGGTGCCGCTGCCTGACTGTCAGGAGCTGGACGGCAGCCCGGAATTCTTTTCTCACAAGTCACTTGGATGACCACCAGATGGTAAATACTTTTCGTCTCTCCTCGCCTGGGCTTGGGGTGGATGTGGTGATCTCAAGGTGGAGGACTGCATGGCTGCCCCTCACCGTGGCTGGTGGTCCCCGAGGGGATGGACGTGGCCACAGAGAATGGAAGCAGCCATAAGCAGCCCTTTTAACTTCAGGGATCCTGGCTGTCCTGAGCTGTCAGTAAGGAAAGGAAAAGGCTCAAGCAAAGGGAAGGGATGGAGGGAGAGCAAGGTGTGCAGCCATTGCAGAGGGATGTGAGTACAGATGAATGGAGCAAAAAATTAGAGATTGGCAGGGCTGCTCACCACGGCGTGTTCAATGGCACAGCACGAAGAAACACGGCTGTCTAAGAAAGTCAGTTTGCTGAGTGGGTTCCTTCATTTCTATAGAAACAGCAGAGCTTCCCAGGAGATGTATTTAGATCCTTGCAATAACTGACCACAAAAAAAAACCCCAAAACTTGACAGTAATGCCACGGGAACCACAGAGCACAACTGTGGGATGAATCCCCAGCCATGAAATGACACGTGGTACAAAACACAGATTGGGTACATGCTCCAGAGGGGAAGAGTTGTAACAGTATTTACATGATGAGCTGCTCAAGCACTGCTCCGTGCTCCTGCAGAAGGCAGAACCCGTGTGATGTGGTGAGTCCAAATCCACACCACGTGCACCCAACCCCGTGTGCTGTCCCACGGGGGGCTGCACATCGCTTTCCTGCTCTTGCTGTGCCATAGGAGCCAAGGAAAAAGAGCACTTTCAGCACCTGCAGAGCTTGCCTGGCCGTTCCTGCACACTGTGAATCCCACACAGCAGAGGGGCAGCATTCTGCCCTCAACTTTGGGATTCCATGCAGTGTGGGTGACATATCCCTCTCCCATAGCCGTGCCCTGGGGCAGAATTAAATACAGGGGCTGGGTTCCCAGCTCTGCTCAGTCTTGGCACCATCCCAGGCTGGATGTCAGGGGAACAGCCACCCCTGCACATTCACAGTCCAGCAGAGAGGTGCTGGCTCTCATGCTCAGCAGCCCCCTCTGCCATGCCCGTGCCATTGGGGACGTGTCCCTTGTCCCTTCCCTTCTCTTGCTCTCCCAGCAGACAGCACGCTCTCACCTTGAAGGGAGTGGAAATGTCAGCTGGAATGTAGGCTGGAAAAAAAAGAAAGCAAATCTTGAGGCTCGTCCAAACCTACTCCTGTTTATATTGGAGCCTGGGAGTGACATCAGAGCAGGGAGAGTATAAACACCAGCAGGACCCACTCGGGGCTTTAAAGCCTGCAAACATGAGGCTCCGGCTGGAGAAGCAGCTCCTCATCCTCTCCTTGCTCTGCATCCTCTCCAAGGTAAGGAGTCGGGGTGTGGGATCTCCTCAGGCTCACTCAGGGCAGCACCAGGATTCCCAGTATGGGACTGTAGGGAGGCTGCAGTGCTGCTGTAGCCTTGACAGCTGGCAGACAGCTGTATGTCTGCAGAGCTCTGCCTGGGAGAGAATTCCAATGAAGCAGCATAGTCTTAACTCTCATGGACCAAATGCTTCTGTGTTGCAGCAATGTGCTCTGTTTGCTCACCTGCCCCTGCAGCCATCCCACAGATCCTGCAGGCTCTGTGCTGTGAGCACCAGCCCCAGGGCTACTCAGCTCTCCCCCATTCCAGGACACTCATGCAAACCATCCAATAAATTGGGGTTCTTCCAGGGATTTGATTTTTTTTTTTTTTCTCTTGGATTCTGCATGACACAGCTCACTGTGCAGAGTTTTGAAAAATGTTGGGGTATGTCAGTTCCAAATTCTTGTAATTGCTGATTGAATCCCAAGCCAGACTGCAAGCAGGGACACAGAACAGCCTTGTGCCTGTTTGACTGCTTTCCTGGGCACTTAAGATCTCCAACAGGAGCCACATTGCCATCTAATGACAAGTTAATTGCAGGGAGCATGGGGAAATGGATTAATAGAGCTGGATGGGCAAATCCTTCTAAAACATCAATCTGTAATAGAAACCTGAAAGATGAAAAATGCACTTGGCTCCTGGGTGAGCTATGACTGATGAGCAGCTCCTGGCCAGGAGAGCTCAGTGAGCTCTGGAGAGCCACCAGCTGTCCTCTGCCCCCAACCTGAACATGGCCAACATCACCAGTGCCCTGGTCCTTCATGGTCCCCCTGCCTTCTGCTACAGCAGCAGTGCTGCTCATTGAGAGGACCAGAACAAGACAGAGACTGCCCAGCCCATTTTGGAAAGATTTCACCTTTCACGTCCTGGCAGGGCTGCACTGCATTGTGCAGGGCAGCACAGAACTGCAAATCCAAAACTTTTGGCTTCAGACCCAAAATGCAGCAGCCCCAGCAGCCACCCCTGTCAGATGTGCCAGGGTAATGGCGTGTGCAGAACAGCCACAGACACACTGCTGCCCACCTGGGGGAACTCCTGCAGGCACAGAGCAGGCACACTGCCTTAGGACACAGGTTGGCAAGGGCTGCTGCAGGCAGGGCAGGGGAGGAGGCAGCCGTAGCACAGAGAACAGCAGTGAGCTTAATCAGGCTTCGGTTCTCCCCTGCAAATGTGTTGTCCCATTTCTTGGCACAAATGAGAGATGTGCTCACAGCGAGGGGTTGGGGAGGAGCAGTGCCCTCACCGTATGCACGCTGCTCCTGGGAAGCTGCATCCCCGACTGTGCACCAGCTGCCATGTGGGGCTGCTAGCGCCACCTGATGAACCCCGGTGTGTGGATGCTCACTTCCCCAGCCCTACCTCCTCCTGCACTCACAGCAGTGGTGCATGTCAGCCCCCATCCCGCAGGATATCCCTGATTCTCCCGGTTTCCATGGGAGCCCATCGTGCTGCGCAGTCGCTCCCTAAGCAGACGGCAGCTTTCCCAGCAGCACTGCCATGTTCCCATGGATGGGCAGAGCCAACGATCTATCTCCACCCAACCAAGGTTGACTTTCAGAGGCCATCCCAGTGCACCTGCAGCCACCAGCTGTGTCAAACCCGCGATGCTTTGTACCCCCAGGTGTGCTCCCAGCTGTGCCGACGGCCGTGCTACTGCTCCCACGTGCTGCCCCGCTGCCCACGTGGGTCCCCCCTGGTCCTGGATGGCTGTGGCTGCTGCAGGATCTGCGCTCGGCGCCTGGGAGAGCCCTGCGACTTCCTGCATGTCTGCGACCGCAGCCAGGGGCTCATCTGTGACTACAGCTCGGGAACAGGAGGCACCTGCAACTGTGAGCACCACGGCTGGACGTGGCTCTGAGAGCTGCTCTGCCGAGGAAGATGCACACAGATGGCTGCGGGGCTGTGTTGCTGCTCCTGCCAATTCTAACGCCAGTCGCTGGCCAGGTTTTTGGGGGTGGTTTGAGTGGGATGGGCATAGCAGTTCCAGAGACGTTGCTGGGGATGAAGAACTGCAGAGAAATAACAGAGGGATATTTTCAAGTCTGAAAGCCCTGAGAAGTATGGACAGGGTTGGAGAGCAGTGGGTTTCTCACCACCTTGATGTAGGAGGCAGGGAAGGGGAGGTCGGGCGATGCATCACCTCATGCCTCCCTATGCCCTTGTGACCATCCAGTTCCCCCTCCTCCTGGCAGCCCCCCATCACCACCAGCTATCCCCTCTGCCACCCCCACTCTCTGTCCCCTTGCCCCAGTGGCTTCCCCCTGTCGTTACAGTTGAAGATGACGAGGAGGGCTGTGAGGTGAATGGGCGGCTGTACCGTGATGGGGAGGTGTTCCAGCCCAGCTGCAAGCTGCAGTGCCGCTGCCTGGATGGGGGCTTCACCTGCGTCCCACTCTGCCAGGAGGACGTCCGCCTGCCCACCCCAGACTGCCCCTACCCACGGCGCGTGGACATCCCAGGGAAGTGCTGCCCTGAGTGGGTCTGCGAGGCCAGAGAACGGCAGAGCACTGGGGCAGGTAGGAGGTGGGATGAGGCGTTGAGCTCCAGCGGGAGACCCTCACTGCCCCTCTCTCCGTGGCACAAGGCAGGTAAGGCAGCGCTGGGCTCCAATCCCATTTCTCCTCTGTTTCCATCCAGCCCCCGCAGTGCCGTACCTCTGCCAGCCGTGGGTCACAGAGTGGAGCGCCTGCTCGGCCACCTGCGGCATGGGCTTCTCCACCCGCATCTCCAACCAGAACCGCTACTGCCGGCTGGAGACACAGCGGCAGCTCTGCATGCTCAGGCCCTGCCCGGCTCTGCCGGCGGCACCCCTTGTGGTAAGCGATGGTGATGCCGACACCTCCAGGCAGCAGCTTGGAGTGGGAATGGGACACCCCAGCCAACACCCCGTGCGCACCCCATCAGCCCCCCAGCCATGAGTCCTCCAGCATCCACTGTCCCCACATCGCTCCGCTTTGCCTTTCCAGAGGGGATGAGGAGGGTGTTTGCAGCCCTGCCCACCCTGGTTGTGTCCCGGAGCCAAGGCCCCGGCACAGAGGCTGGCACACATCTGTGACACCGTGGTTTTGGAGGAGATGGAAGACACGTCCCTTGGGAATCTGGGGGAGAACCGATGGACTTCAGCTGCAGAGGAGGGTGGAAATAGAGAACAAGATCCCTACAACACGCCTGTGTACTCTGCTGCCCCGGGTAGGGTTGCTGGGCAGCAGCGCCCAGTTGTATGAGATGGGGAAATCCTGCCCCAAGCACAAACCCACCTGAGAAAAGGGGACGTTGTCCTTTCCCGGATTGGAGAGGCTTTCGGAAAGGGCTGAGCGATGCTGCTGTGCCAAGCACCGCACACACAGCTCTGCTCTGCAGAATTAGACCACTAGCGGGACGCCCCGTGCCCCCACGCCGGGGATGGGGGCTCGCTGTCCCACCACACCCAGGCACCGGCAGAGATGTTTTCCTGGCGGCAGCTCCCATTCACCTTCCCCACATCCCTCCAGTACAAACAGCTCCCTGCTCCGCCTGGCCGCCTGCTCTTCAAAGCCCGGCGGTTTGGCAGGGCCCTGGCAGGCGTGCAGCTCAGACGGAGGAGGCACCAGACATACCACCCCGCATCCAAGCGCATACCCCAAAAAAAGGCCAGCAGAAAGGCAGGAGACGGGAAAACAAACAGCAGAGATGAGCCCAACGGGTTGGAGCTGCTCCAGCGTGCAGAGCTGCACAGGAGAGCGGAGCGGCAGTGAACCTTTAGGGGCTGCTCAGAAACGAAACCCAAATGCCCTCTAACGGCCTCGCAGCGACGTGCAGAGCAGGACGAGAAGGGCGGCGAGCAGAGCAGGCGGGACCGCGCATCTTGGCTGTGCACCCCTGCAATCAAAGCGCTGTGAACGTGATTGCAGCGTGTTACCCTGGGTTGAGCGTCCCCCTCGGCCAGCAGCAGAGCCCAGCAGCTCCAGCAAGCGCTGGAAATAAATCAGTGTGAAGGGTGTTGTCACCTCTTTGGGGGAAAAAATAAAGGAGAAAAAAGAAAAAAAAAAAAAAAAAAAAAGAGCCTTGCTGCTCATGCAGTAATACACTGTTTACAAAGAGAGTTATTTACTGACACCATTCATTTAGTGGGATGGAAGGGATGCAGGAGCCCCCAGCAGGCAGCACACAACACGAGGGACACGGCATCATCGGTTTTCTGCCTCTGTGGTGGCAAAAACAACAGTGGTGTGAAGCTCACTGAGACTTTAAAACCCGCAATGTTCCTCTGCTGACATGGGTGAGGCACAACCAGTGTACCAAACATCCTGGGTTCAAGGCAGTTCGGTTTTCCATGTGCTGAGATGTGCCCCCGTGCTGGCTCAGCCCATCCCAGCCACCCCACGCTGGTGGTGAAATCCTAACGGTCACTTTTTAAGCAGCAACCTGCAATCTGTATCTCAAACACAAATGACTCAATGCACCTCTTGGGTTTTTTTGGGGGGGAGGGGGAGCTGTGATTCACTCAGCAGAAAACACCTAAATAACGAATTAATGACTTCAAACAAATCAGAGTTACTTTTCCCTAAAGAACAGAGGGAAACTGACCCTCACAATCCAGGTGTGAGTCGCACGGTGTTTGCTGCCCCCTCTAAGCTGTGCTACCGGGGCAATCAGTGCTTCTGCAGCCCCAGCCCCGGGCTCTGTGGGGTGCTGGGAGGGGTCAGATAAGCACTGCACACCCACAGACGGTTACAGGAAGCCCTGTAGCTCAGAGCCACATCCGTACCCGCAGCGGCACATGAGAGTGGCAGACCACGGTTTGTTTCTCGGCAAGCATGTGCCACAATCAACAGACTGTAACAAAACAGACTTATTTTGCTGCTGTTGAACAGAATCTCTATTGCTAACCGGAGCCAACACATCTGCAATAAGCAGACACTCCCGTGGCTCGGGCTTCTCTGCGGCAGCACAGGAGGGCAGGGCCGTACCCCTGCCATGGAAAACGGCATTCCTTCTGCCCGTTGGTGTGTTCGCTCTGGTGCCCGGAGATAACGTTATTTCTGGCGTTGTTTGTGCCGCAGCAGCTGCTCAGCAGTGAAGGGTGATCGCACTCTTTGGGTTCAGTTTTAACTCTCGTATAAGCTTCACCAGCTGCGAGTGCCCGCTGCGTTACACCCCCAGCGCCTGCGGGCAGGAGGGGGAAGGCACAGCGCTTCTTGTGTTCCCTCCTCTTAAAACCGCTCAAGGGCGGGGAGGAAGGGTTTGTGGGTTTTTTTTAATTTGTGGAAGGGATGTCGAGCAGGATGTTGTTGCTGCGCGCTACCCGGGAGGTGCGCTGGGGCCAGGCAGCTTCGCGCATCCGTGGTGCTGGCACCGCCCCTCGCACGCGATGCGCTGGACCGGGGCCATCTACACTTGGCAGGCGGATCTCCGCCCTGCTCTCGCTCCTAACGCCGGGTGTCTGTGGGCTGAGCACGGAGCTGCAGGTCGGTTCAAGAGCGGCGTTCCCTGGGGACGGGACGCAGCGAGCAAAGCGGCAGCGAACTGTGAACTCTCCCACCCACGCGGCGCAGAGCCGCCCCATGCGTGCCTTCCTCCCGCCCCTCCCGGCACCACCAGAAATAGCTCGAGCCTTGGTGCCCGGCTCGCAGTACCTCCAGCAGGCTGGCAGCTCCTCCAGGAGCCCCACGCTCCGTATCCCCGGCCCTGGGGCTGGATCCTGACCTCACGAGCACCTCCCCGAGCGCCGCACCGCCTGCTCATCTCCTGCAGCGCCCGATGGCCAACAGCACTCCGCTGTGGGACAACGGCAGCCAGGCTCTGTGCCCCGTGGATGCCGCCTTCGCGCAGCGCTTCCTGCCCGGCGTCTACCTGGTGGTGACCCCGCTGGGGCTGGTGGGGAACGTGCTGGGGCTGCGCTATCTGCGCTCTGACCGCCGCAGCCCGCTCAGCCCGCTGATGGGCCACCTGGGCCTGGCCGACCTGCTGTACGTCTGCACGCTGCCCTTCCTCATCAGCTACTACCTGCACGGCCGCACCTGGGCTTTCGGCCGGGGCTGGTGCCGCCTCACCCGCGGGCTCTTCCACCTCAACCTCTACGCCAGCATCGGTTTCCTCACCTGCATCAGCGTGCACCGCTACCTGGGCATCGTGCACCCGCTGCGGGCGCGGGGCCGCTGCCAGGCTGCCGTGTCGCCGGGCCGGCTCAGCGCGGCCGTGTGGCTGTGGGTCATCGCGCAGGTGGGCCCTGACTTCGCCTTCAGGAAGATGGACCCCGTGGGGATGCATTGCCATGACACGACGGGGGATGAAAGCCTGGGTGCCTACGTGCCCTACACCGCCGCCGTCACCGTGACGGGGTTCGTCATCCCCTTCCTCATCATCGTCGGGTGCTACTGCCACGTGGTGGTGGTGCTCTGCAGGAGCGACACGGTGGAGCCCGGCCTCAGGAGGAGCAGCATCAGGCTGGTGGTGCTCGTCATGGTCCTCTTCTCCGTCTGCTTCCTGCCCTACCACATCTTCAGGAACCTCAACTTGCTGTCCCGAGCCTGGCAGCGGCAGGGGTCCTGCACACAGGCCATGAAGGACATCTACGTCTCCTACCAGGTGACCAGGGGCCTGGCCAGCTTCAACAGCGCACTCAACCCTCTGCTCTACGTCATGACCAGCAAAGACTGCATGTCACGCATGAGGAATATCTACCAAAGGACCAAGGAGACCCTGGGATCCCTCTTCACATGGGAATCCTCTAACCAAACTCATGAGACGAGGAGCAGCATCGTCTTTGAGGAGCAGGAGGCTTCTGAGCAGCTCTGATCAGCGCAGCACCTCCCCAACAGCTGTGCACATCAGCTTCAGCTTTCCCCCACCTGAAGCACGCTTTGTGGTGAGATGAGACTGCAGTCCTCGGCTCCAGCATGGTGCCTGGGACAGATGGGACTGAGGGCAGAAGGGAGTAGGCTGGGCTCGGGCTTTAGAACACAGCAACCAGCCCCAAGTGGGGCAGAGAGCTGCTGCATTGCAGGATGATGGAGAGGGGGAGTTTTGCAGGGCAAAGTGCTGTAGAAATGGAAACATTCACTAACATATCTTGATTTAAACATGACTAAACTGTGCCAGCAGTGGTGGTGGTTGTTTGTGGAAGCAGATCTGCTTCAGGACCTGGCTTATCTTCTGCTGCATGCCTCCGTCACAGCAGAAAAATGTACTTTAGAATTATTCACTCTCTTCTGGAAGAGTGCATAACAAACAAACCGGCATCTTAAAGTTTCTCAGGGCTTTTTTTTTTTAAATTGCAAGGCAAATGACCGCAGTGGCCTGAACCATGTGCTCAGCAGGCAATGCCCCAGAGAGCTCTGAGCCACTTGGGTGGGGGCTGCAGCTCTCCGGCATTTGGCCTCACAGCAGTATTAACATGAGCTATTGTCTCCTGTAAATCTGATGTGCAAATGTCACCTGCAGAGAGGCAGCACCGGCTGAAGTTGTGCAGAGGTACAGTGAGCTGCCAGGGCAGGACGTGCATCAGCTTCCGTGGATGCAGGGGCATTTCTGCTGCAGGGGGAGCAGCAGCTCCTGAGCAGCACTTCGCTTTTTGCTTTCGGTTCTCCACAACACGAGCAGCTGCAACGCATGACTGGAGCAGCGAGACTTGAAGCAGCAGACTTCAGAAGGGGCACATGAGTTAGAACTGCTTCGTACCTGGAGAGCACGGCCCCACGCAGGGCTGAAGTCAGAGCAAAGCCTGACCTGTACCAGCCAGCTGTGATCACAGCCCGACCTCACCGCCCTGCAGAGGACACAGTGGCCATCACATAGGGCATCTGAGGTGCAAATAAACTCTTAACATGTTCACCTGTGCTCCTCTGGCTTCTAGAGCTTGGTGGCAGCACACAGCCAGCTGGCCTGGGGGATGGAGCAGGGGCACACACCAGCTCTGCTCCCCTCCGTGCACCCAGCTCTCATCCACTGCCCCCACATTGTTGTTAAGGGTGAGTTAAAGATCTGTATCCCATGAACCAGCCCTGAGCATCTGTAGCATCTCATGGTTCCATATCCCACGTCAGTCAAACCAGCAGAAGCCACTGGAGTCTGCACACTGTAACAATGGCTCCAGGGCTTCACAGCCCTCCTGATCCTCAGGCAGCACCACTCTCCATGCAAGCTGAAAAGAAGAAGAAGGAAAAAGAAAAAAAAAAAAAGCCTCCCCCCAGACCCAGCCAAATTCCTTCCCTTAATTAGCTGCGTGTGTAATTAAGGACAACCACTGGCACATGAGCCTGCCTGGCTCTCACAGCTGTGTAATGGAGCAGCAAAGCAGCCCCTTCCTGCTGCTTTTGCTCCGGGCTCCTCCCTGTGCAAAGAGCATCTGCTGCCCTGCAGGGGACAAATGTGACAGAGAGAGAGGTACAGATGTATGACCATTTCACTTCCCCAGAATGCAAAACTGTTCTGCTTGGCATCCAGAATGCTACACAAGAACATATTGCTGTCAGCAGCAGCTAAACCAGAGGCCCCCAGCAGAGTGAGGAGTGCAGAACAGGGGGGGCTTTGGGAGCATCTCCTGTGGCGTGGTGGGAGCTGCAGCGTGTGCAGAAAGGGCTGAGTCCTGCAGGTCACTAATGAAAGGTCACAGCATCTCCGAATGCAGCATTTATTTCTGCAGCAGAGCAGTTTCACTGTCCCAGTACCTCTGGGTATAGGGAGAGCAGACCTGACAGCTCATCTGATTTACCAAGGACATCGGCTGGGCTGGGAAAGCAATGGTAGTGCAGTTAACTCTGGGTGATCCAGGCAAAAATGGTCAATGTGTGTGGGATCGGGTGCTGCCAGTGAATGTTTCTTTAAAATGAAATTCGGAGTCTTTGTGCAGGGTGCTTTGGCATCTGGGAGACCAACAGTTTATTAAGGAGAGCACACCGTATAAATAGAACAACATTCAGCGTGGCTGCGTGAGGCTGTTGGTCTCATATTGCTCCTATTGTTCCTGTGTGTGCGTGGTTATAAATAGGGGACACTGCGCGGTGTGGGACCTCCATGGGGCAGGAGGTGCCCTGGGGTAACCCAGAGCTTCACCTGCACAGCTCTGTCCCTCAGCCCCTGCCCAGAGACACTCAAATGGAGCATATTGAAGCGAGCTCCTTGTCCCACTGCAGCCCCAGGGTGATTTTCTTGCTCCAAGCAGGCGCTTTGCCCGACTCCCCAAAGCCCAGCGTTAATTTCATTCCCATCACTGACTCAGAGATCCGCAGAGCAGCTGTGGCCGTGGCACTGCTGTGTGCTCTGCCCTGGGGACGTGGCTCAGCCACTGCACGTCGGCCAGGAGCCACAGGGGCATCTCTGTGTGCCGCTATGGAGCAGCCATCCCATCGCCCACATTCATCCACCCTGAGAGGAGCAGCTGGAAAACTTCAGTGCACGAACGATTTGGTAAAAAGTTGCGACTTCAAGGTGGAGAACAAAACGTGTCTGCAGCGCAGTGCTCTCACTGCACCACAAAGCAAATAGTGCCAGTTTAGTTTATTTGTTCCCCACTCCTGGTCCTGCAGCCCCCGGCCCCACAGCCCAGTCACAGCACTGGATGGGGGCTATGAGAGCAGCAGGATGGCAGCATTCCCCTTCCCAGCCCCACTGCAGGATGAGGGTGAAGCTGTCATCCAGGCATCCTCAGGAAAATCCTTGCATACTTGCAATGCATTCCCAGAACCTCTGCCCCTCCCCTGCCTGCAGCAGAGAACTCATTTATAGCACTGCCCACCGTGGGAGCGGAGCAGGTCCTGCTCTGCATTTCACCAAGCACTGCTGTGGCCGTGTTTGTGTGCTGATCCCAGTGCCACCACCCTCAGCCCCGGCTGTGCTGGGATGCCTGCATCCCAACTGGTTGTCTGCTCTGCTTCTCAGCAAACAATCCCAGCAGTGATTAAGTAGGGACATTATTGTTTTAGCTTGTTTTTGTGATTAAAGCCAAGGTGCTCCAGACAAATAAATGCACCAATGAAAGCGGCCGAGATCAAAGCAGTACCTCTCCCAGCTGGGTGCGGGCCAGGCGTTTTATGGCAGGTGCTGTGTGCCTGGCTGGCGCTCAACTGACAGCTTTCCAAGCACATAAAAACTTAATAGGCTGAAAATAGAGTTTGTGGTCACAGACTGACAGCAGCAGCGCTGGCAGCTTGGGGCCGCTCCATGCATGAGCTCCAGGGGAGCGGGGCTGAGGAATTCAGGCAGGGCATCAGGCAGGATCCACAGTGGGATGCAGGTGCCAGGGCTCCCAGATTGCAGGGCCAGGAGGGAGGCAGTGGGATACCCCAGAGCCTGGGGAAAGCCATGCAGCCGACTCCGTTTGCAGCCCCCAGGATACAAACACCCCAAGCACCGGAGCTCCTGCTTTGTGCACAGAGCTCCGCTGTCCATCTGCCTCCCTGTGCAATAAAAAGGAGACATGTCATCTCATAATGCAACTTCTTGCTGGAAATCAATGCTGAAGTGCTCCCATCCTGCAGCTCCCACGTGCCCTTGTTCAAGTGCAATGACAGCAGCAAGAAGACAAAGGCTGAGCTGAGCAGTGTGGGGCTTCTCTTTGGGCAGGAGGGATGTGTGTGTGCTGTGACACAGCTCTGGTGCACTTGCTGTGTGTAGGTAAAGAAATGTATGAGCACGGGGCTGCTGTGCAGCATTGCCTTCATGTGACAGCAGCCAAACACACTGCTGTGTGCACTGCCTGTGCAGCCCTGTGTTGGTTAGCACTGTTTGTCACCGGGCAGCTTTAGTACAGAACTGCTCCTGCCCCTGTTGTGTACGGGTGGATCTTGTCCCGCAGGGCCTGAGACCACAGCAAAGCCCCGGAGCTGCCATCGCTGTCCTGCAGCTGCACAGGATGGGAGCTGTGCGTGCAGTTTGCCCCCATCTGCAGAGCAAACGCATCGGTGCGTCTGGAGCTGCACGGGGTAATGGGCTGCAGCACTACCGGCTGCTCCGGAGAGGAGCTGGGAGCTCAGACTGGACCCGCAGGGCCCCAGCAGCTCTCCCGGCAGCATTGCTGCTCCCAGCCGAGATGGGCAGAGTTTATTTTTGAAGGAGATGTTATCTCCCGCAACGCGCAACTCGGGAGAAGCATCTTTCTATTTTTAAAAAGCGAAACATAAGGCTTACATAAACTACTGGGGAAGCGGAGCCGAGCCGCCGGGCCCGCGCTTCGAGGGCTCCATCTCCTAACACGGCCGATTCCGCGCGCCCCGGCGCGGAGCGGGGCACCCATCGCATCCATCCAGCCGCCGCCGTCGGGTGGCGGTGCGAGAGGAACGAACCCGAACGGCCCGGCTGGGAAGCGAGGGAAGGAGCGGGGCAGGGCGGAGCGGAGCGGGCACAGCCGTGACCCCGCAGCGCGGTGCGGGCGGAGGGAGGCGGGGAGCGGGCGGGGAGCGGGCGGCTGCGGGGCGCGCGGGGAGCGCTGCGCGTGTGCGCGGGGGGCGCGCGAGGGGCGGCGCGCGGGCGCTGCGCGGGGCCCGCGGGGGGCGGCGGGGCCATGCGGAGCCCGGGCTGAGGGGCCGCGCCTCGCCATGAAGCGGCAGAACCTGCGCACGGCAGCGCTCATCCTCTGCATCTTCTCCTACCTGCTGGTGGGCGCCGCCGTCTTCGATGCTCTGGAATCGGAGGCGGAGAGCGGCCGCAAGCGGCTGCTGGAGCAGAAGCGCGGGGAGCTGCGCAGGAAGTACCGCTTCTCCGCCGACGATTACCGGGAGCTGGAGCGGCTGGTGCTGCAGGCCGAGCCGCACCGCGCCGGGCGCCAGTGGAAGTTCGCCGGCTCCTTCTACTTCGCCATCACCGTCATCACCACCATCGGTGAGTGCTGGAGCCCGGCACGCCTCCGTCCCCGCGCCGCAGCGCGGCTCCCCCGGCCGAGCCGGGACGGCTCCGCGGCCCCGAGCTGCCCCTCCGAGCGCGGTGCCGGGACCCCGCGGTGGGAGAGGTGAGCCGCGGGCACGGCCGTCTCGCTCACGGCGTCCCGGCGACGCGCGGCCGGAGCTGCAGAAGTCGGCGGGGTGCGGGGCGGGGAGCGGCGCTCCTCGTCGCCGCTGCCGTAGCCGCACGCCGGGCGGCAGAGATGCGCGGGAGGCTCCGGCCCCTCCGCCGGCTCCAAACTCCGCGTTCGGCCGTCCCAGCAGCCGGCACGGCCGCCGAATCTCGCTCTGCTCCCACGGGTGTCCGCAGGGAAAGTGGGGCGAGTGAGGTCGGGGGGTGGCGGCACCCCAGGTGTACGCGCTCACCGGAGCCCAGCCTTGGTCTGCCTGCCGTTTCACAATAGTGTCACAATTGAACGGGGAATGCCTTAATTCTGAGATTAGCCACGTAGGTGATCAGCATCATTAAATTAATCCGCTTGCGTGAATCCACGCACCCCAAGCATCCCGGGAGGGCGGGCGGCCATGGGATCCCGTGCTCGCGTCGCTCCCCGCGCTGGGATCCCGACCGGCAGCAGCGCTTCGGCGGCGGAGCCCTGAGGCCAATTCCTGCCCTTCCGTGGCAGCTCGGCACGGGCAGCACGCGCCTGGCGGCTGCGTTCATTGTGTCTGGCACGGGCACACGAGGAGATGTGGGACCAGGAGATGAGGCTGCTGAGCAGGATGAATGGCTGCAATGAAAACCCCCATCATCCCGTGACAGCTTATAGCTTCATTTACATTATTTCTCCGTCGGCTGTGACAAACAATTGCCACGCTTATCACACACCCCCTGCCATAAATAATCCCAGCCCAGGTGCCGTGCTTCTCAAACGCCAGCCCTCCTTATGTCACGCTGTGCTATGAATCTCAGCTTTAACATTAATGTAGCTCTGTGGCTTTCTAATGCAGCTTTGTCATTTTGAAAGCATCAGTCATATGCTCTTTCAGGAACCTCTCAGGCTACAACAGCTCTTCTGGATCATTTTATTTATGTCCTCATTGCTCTCGTTGTGCTTAGGACCTGATAATTGCACTCAGTTATTGGGCTTGGATCTGATTTTTTTTTTTTTTTTTTGCCATTGCAGTCTATTTTCTGCTCTGTATTCTATGAGATGTGCCACGCAGGAATTAAGTTTATTGGGTTTGCTTGCACGGGTTTATAAACAGACGCAGCAATTAGGGATGGGCTGCTCCCCCCTCGCCTTGGCAGCTCAGAGCACAGTGGGTCTGGGGATAAGGCTCTCACATGGGCACCTCCAGCCCTAGCAGGTTGTCACAGAAACCCAAAGGAAAGGTTGGACGCCTCTTCTGCCTCCACGCAGCAGTGCTGCATGACTCCTTGCAGCCTGACACTTACTCACCCCGTTAGGTCAGAGGCCGCTGGTTTCAGTTCAGTTTATGTAACTGAGGTGGGCGCAGGATCAGCCAGGTCCAGAGGATGGTGATGAGTACCTCATTATGCCTCATGGTATAATTGTGTGTGTCTTGAGTCATAGTGCTGAGACTTGGAGAGAGGAGGGGAAATTAAATCTCTGAGAGGCATTTGAGGAGAGTGGGAGGTTCTGCTCCACAGCTTACATATGTGGCTGCACGTGGGACCCTGTGCTCAGCTCTGGTGGGGCTGCACCTCAAGTGCTGTGCTCAGCTGTGGGCCCCTCACTGCCACGCAGATAGCATGTCCAGAGAGGGGCAGTGGGGCTGTGAGGGGTCTGAGCACAGTGGGGACTTATGGGGAGCAGCTGGGGGAACTGGAATGGTTCAGTCTGGAGAAGAGGAGGTTCAGGGGAGACCTTATTGCTGTCTGCAGCTCCCTGAAAGAGGTTG